CAAGACATGAAAGGAATGGCAACGTTTTTGCCGTGAAAGCGCAGACCTGGGTTCCTCAACCAAACCTGGTACCCTATTCAGAAATATGGTCCAAAGCCTGAGCCTGAATTCAATGACAAGATTCTCCCGTTTCTCCTTGGTAACCGCCTGCCCAGCCGCTGCTTGTCCGAGATACCCCGCATGCACTGTACTATCGTATGCATCGCAATGAATATTCCCAAAAGGAATTTTAGTCATTGATATGCAGCAGAAAGATAGTGGGGAATAGGACGGAGCCCTGAGGAACGCCGTCATTCACTGACATGAACCGCGAACTGTTACCATTCGTAAGGACACGAATTCTACGTTCATGCAGGAGCTACCCAAGAACAGATCTGTGCCGGCAAACCGTATGCCGGAAGCTTGGAGAGAATGCTTCTGTGCTAGACCCTGACGAACGCCTTGGCTGTCATGTCAAGGCATGTCAAGGCTGATAACCAACGACTTGCCCCGCTTGTCGATAGCCTGACCCCAGATATGAGTCAAGTACGCTAGAAGATCACCCGTCGATAGTTTGGGTCTAAAACCATATTGAAGATCATTAATCAAGGATTCATCTTCTAGGTAGTGGGTCAGATGGTTGTTAAAAACCTTTTCTAGGACTTTATATAATACTGGGGTGACTGCTATTGGCCGGTAGTTTACCGGGTCTGAGGGATCCCCTTTTTTGGACACCGGTTGCACGTTGGCATCTCTCCAAGTCTCCGGCACACGCCCCAAAGAATACGAGTATTGGTACAAACGCGTGAGAGCCGAAGACAACTCCGCTGCACATTTTTTTGGCACTACTAATGGGATGCCATCAGGTCCACCAGCTTTCCGGATGCCGAGTGATTGCAATTCGACACGAACCTCACGCTGCCTGATTTTAATATCAGGCATCGTTGTGCCACAATGAGGTAATGATGGTGGCAGTGCATTGCAAATATCGAGTCTGGAGTTAGCCGCAAAGAGTTTTGCCAGTAAATCGCCTTTCTCCCGTGGCTTATGAGCTAGTGTTCCGTCAGGGCATCTCAGAGGTGGCAGCGAGAGCTGGCAGAAGTTCTTTTGCACGGCGTTATAAGTTCGTGACCAACATGTGCAACGCGCTGGGCATCCGCTGTAATCCTTCTTACAGGTCTTGAAAGCAAAATTATAGGCTGCTTTTAGTGAATCACCCCGGGATCCTTAAGAGCACGCCTCAGATCCAAGCACGATATGCCGCTTGCTTACGCGAAACAGCTTCAGCACAGTGGTGATTGAACCAGAGGTTACGTGTGTCCTTACTGAAGAGATTGGAATGAGTAATATAGTACCATTACAATCTCCTCAGAATAACAACGGCGCTGGCAGATAGGTTCTTGTCACTGAAGCAGCGCTGCTTCTAAGGGACGGACGCAAAGTTGTCACGCATACCGTTCGAATCTGCCGACCCATAGTGACAGATCCGGCGTTGTACCACCGTTGGACGCGCAGGCTTGGCCTGTGGCGCTTTGGTAGATAACGGGCAGTGATTCGAAGAGCCCAGAGACCGCTTACCACAACCTGACAGCTCTGTGGATGGGTCGTGAGCAGAAGGTCCAGTAATAAAGGTGATTGACTTGAAATATCTGGAATCCTGGTGGGCTGATCGACCAGTTGCTTCAAGTCATGCGTGAGCAGAGCCCTGCATGGTTGGTTTTCGAGGAACTTAACCACAACTGAAAATTGTGGTAAGCATTAAATTCCCCCAAAAATACCAATTCTGCTTTGGGAAATTGTTCTTGCGCGTCATCTGCTGCCCGACTAAGGTGTTCGAAAAGTCGTGTTGTCTCAATATCGCGAGTATGGGATCTGTAGAGGCACACGTAGATTTTGGCCTGGGGACCAGAGTCGACGTGTACCACCAGCATGGAGTAGGAGTGATCTTCCAAGCAGCGGAGACGGCGACAACAAACATTCGCCCGAACATACAGGCATACACCGGCTTTCGCTTTGAAGGACTCTTTAAACACGTAGCCGGGATAGTTAAGGTAGCCTGTGTCAGCAGGCAGAAGTATTTGTGTCTCCGTCAACAATGCTGGGCGTGCTCTTTCAAGATAGTGGTGGACAGCGTTGAGGTTAGAGTGGAGTCCGCGTATGTTGCCTGGGGGTATGCACCGCTATACTTAGTTGTTTTAGAGGCTGCCATGGTGGAATTGAAAAAGAGACGTGAAAATGAGCGGGCGGTGTCGCGAAGAGTCCTGGCAAATTAGGAAGATTTGTTTTCCCGATAGAAGCATTTCTGTACTTGCGATCTGATAACTTTTTGTCGTACGAGTGATACATGATCCCGTCTTGGCAACATTTTCCATGAAAATGTTTTGGAGAGATCTTTTATTCAGTTCAGGCTTTCAGGCACTTGTGTACGTACCCCATACAAATCTACGGCGGGGGGCCTTGTACTAAGAAGCGGCAAGAAACTCAGCAAGAGCTTGTTTTTTTACCCTGTAGGTTTCAGAGTCATCAAATTAAAAAATGAGGACAGAGATAATTCATGAAGTCTTTTTCCATTACATATTTTTATTCTTTATTTCGAGCTTGAGTTTCGAGCCTACCTACTTCGAATTAATCTATTTACACCAACTTTTCTTATTGTCTAACTATTATTATCTTTCCTAGGTACAACAAGGCTGGGTGGCTTGTATTGCTTTCAGATTACCTTTATACAAGGATTTATTATGGATACCCACATTAACCTGACTAACTTTTACATTGCGAAAATGAATAATACACCTAGACTTGCGGCCAATCTCAGTGTCTGATCATAAGCCTACCCACTAAAAACCTTACAGATCGCCATTGGACATCTCTTGGCAGTACCAGCATCAGGCAAGACACCGGAACAGACAGTATTCTAAGTTATCCTTGGTGGATCCCTTCGACTCCGTTGTCGACGATGTACACAGAGTACGACTATATGGTCGTTGGGCCCGTAAATTACAGGGTCAAAGGACAACCAAGCTCGAATCCCACCGGTACTCTTGAAATTCCAGGCCAGCCGAGCTAAAAAAGTTATCTTAAATATGATCATGACTTTAATAAATAAAAATATAAAGACAAAAAGGTACGGACCAATGTAAACTTTAAAATATAATAAAAAAAGAACTTCCCTGTCTACCCGACTGATCTGTGTAAAACTCAAAAATAACGATCAAGCTTTGAACATAAATAAGTAATTGTAGGTACCTACAGGTACTACATAGGTATGTACTACTCCAAAGAGAAGAGTGCTGGTGTACCTGGAAGCCGGTGGACTAGCAGGATGAATATTATTGATATACAGTACCTACAGTATCCGGAACTAACATATCTCTTTTTAAATTTGAGGGACGTAACTTTGTAGAAATAAATCGTATTATGCAGAATCAATTTAAACATAAGTTTGGACGGAGGTAGGAGCATTTAAGCAGTGCATAGAAGGTATACGTAAATATTCAGTGTGCTGTATGGTTACGGTGGTGAACGGATGCGCCAAATTACCGGGAAATATTAAAATCGAATATTGGCATTTTATATTTTATTGCAATTTCGCGTAGACTCAAGGTATTATAATATTAATAGCTACTTAAATACGCATTTAAAACATTCAAAATCGCGTCGAGTACAGTGGACGCCGCAGGGTGGCAGTTTGTAAAGATGCAAGAAGTCTTAGAAGATGTAAATATATATATATATATAATATATATTCTATCCGTTACCCTAGTATCCCATAACACAAGCCTTACAGTGCTTACTTTGGGGCTAGGCAAATTAGTGTGTGTTGGAAATATTTTTATTTATTTATTTAAAGTTGTTAAATCTTTAAAAGCTATCTCTATTTGACTTTAAACAATGAATAGAGATAACGTGAATAATGAGTATGAGATAGAAACAGGATTAAGTCTGTATTTTATTGCGGACGGACGGACATAGCGAAATAAGGTTCCTTGTTGACTGAGAACTCTATCACACACGCACCTACTTACCACTGCATCATCGATAACCTTATACTCTATTTAACTTCCTATGAGCCAAAAGGTAAAAAGCATAAAAAGGTTTTTCTATAGGTCGTATTTTATACACATAAAAAGTCATAATAAATATATCTTGATATATATAATTCTTCTGTGAGTGTGTATGTCACTGAACTTCTCTTAAACGACTGGACCAATTTTGATGAAATTTTTTGTGTGTGTTCAAGGGGATCTGAGAATGGTTTAGATTCACAATTTTGTCCGCTGGACAATGTTTTTTTAATTAATTTTTTTTATGGCGGTACGAAGTTCGCTGGGTCAGCTAGTATATATATATATTAAAAAAGCCTTAAACTGTATCTATTCCCAAACTTTGAATGCATGTTAATATAATATAATACTACCAAATTCATGAGTGATAAAGCAAATAATTTACGTTTGTAACGTTGTACGTGAATATAGCTCTTAATATATAAGTTATAAAATTTTAACTAAGTCCAGGAGCAATTTATTAAAGTGCTGCCTTTGGGTTCTAGGTGCTAAGTCTACCGTACCGCAAGCGAAGACCGACTCCTGTTTTCCAGAGGCCGCCGGAGAATCATCAGGCGGGAAACAGCTACACCATTTTGACCTAATGGAAAGTCGTCGGCGGAACCTACCAACGATCCTTGCTGACCACTGAACCTTCGAAGGATCTGGACCTTCGATCTATCTGGCGGATATCCCAGGCCTATTTTGTTCACTAATATTCCCCCTAAACTGCGAAGTTGCGACGGCCAGGGAACTGAATTTGGGCACAATAAAAGGATTATTTTCTACTGAGCTCAACTTTTATTTCCGGACCTGCGAGCCCTACTGGCCGCACATTGTAATGTGAAATTTTGCCACCAGTCTGGTTATCCGGCCATCTTTAATCTCGATGAAAAAAGTTCTAGAAACATTGGTTTATTCGTTTACCTTTTGGCTCAAGGAATTTGAATAGAGTATACATTAATACTGAATGCTGACCTTATCTAAAGCTTTTTGCACTTTTGCCTCTGAAGACAAGTCAAGGGCGCTAGTAGCCTCATCAAGTAGCAAAATCTTCGGGTTCCTTATCAAGGCTCTCGCTATTGCAATCCGCTGTTTCTGACCGCCTGATAATGCAACCCCGCCTTCACCAACCATCGTGTCGTAGCCCTGTATGTATTATGTGTATAAATTAGTAAACATATACCATATTTAATAAAATCCGTATGAAAAAAAAGCGAGTGTGCTTATGACCACACGACTGAAGTGAAACTTCTTTAGCTCCAATAATCAATCCGCACTAGCCGCGCTGCGTCCGTAATCATCCACCAATCCGCACTGGACTAGATCCGTTATCACCCACCAATCCGCGCTAGGTCCATTGTCACCCTCCAATCCGCACTGGATCCGTTATCACCCACCAAACCGCGCTGGGTCCATTGTCACCCACTAATCCGCGCTGGGTCCGTTATCACCCACAAATCCACGCTGGGTCCGTTAACACCCACCAATCCGCACTGGGTCCGTTATCACCCACCAATCCGCGCTGGGTCCGTTATCACCCACCAATCAGCGCTGGGTCCGTTATCACCCACCAAGCACTAGATTTAAGTATTTTGTGACGGGTATTGTTCATTGTTTACCGATGAGTCACTGATGACACTATTCGTAACGGGAAATCGTAACACATTCGCCAGTTCACCCCCAAGACAAGGGTAAAGAAGTTCACTTCAAAAATAAAAAACCGGCCAAGTGCGAGTGCGCACGAAAAGTTCCATACGACAAACCGCGAAAGGAATAATCATTTGTTTGTTTTCGTCACTCATAACTAGGGCTGCCATCTCTAAAATGTGGCAACCAGGACAAGACGCGTGATAACCCCGGATTTAGGAGCCCAAAACCCGGACAGGTCAATAAAAAAGCATAAATGTCACAAATAATAATAATAAATATTTCCAACATTCACACCAATTAGCCTAGCCCCAAAGTAAGCACTGTAAGGCTTCTGTTATGGGATGCTAGGGTAACGGATAGAATACATACAGGGTTACAGGGAAAGTCGTACTGAATATTGAAGGACGTTATTATTCAGGTCATTTCTGATGGATTTGGTCCTATAATATGGTGTCCAAAACTTAACCGTTATGGAGATATTGGATATTAAAGATTTTTTAAAAAATCCTATATTTTTTGGGTTACTGTCGATTTTTTTGAAATTAGAGCTCCAAAGGTCCGATTTTTTAATGAATCTAGTTAGAAGACATGTCAAGCAATAAAAATAATGAATAAAAACTGAACTTCTAACGGCTTAAAAAAACTGCTCGACAACGGTTATAACTAAAGAATTTTCACCAAGTGTTGTTAACTTTGAAGCGCTTTCCTAAAAAAAACATGTATCGAACTTATTCTGCAAATAATTTTAAAAACTTCTACGTCTCTTTAGCTATTCAAAAAGGTATAACGCTTGCTATTAAATTGGCAAAACATTGATCCAATTACAGTTATGGTAGCAGAGGGTACATTTTTAGTTTGAGGTAAAAATAGCAAAAATACATAAATAAAACCAGAAAAGCATCATCATCATCATCACCAGCCTATTAATGTCCCCACTGCTGAGGCACAGGCCTTCCCTATTGATGGAATAGGGAGATTGGGCCATGACCCACCACGCGGGCCCAGTGCGGATTGGTGAGTGCTAACGACTGCAGATGCGGCTGGGACCAACGGCTTAACGTGCCTTCCGAAGCACGGAGGAGCTCGAGATAGTAATTTTTGGTCACCCATCCAATGACCGACCACTGCGAAAGTTGCTTAAGTTCAACGATCCTCAACGGGACCTCTCGAGTCGGTGACACCATGAAACCCGGCGTACAAACCACTCGGCCACGGAGGTCGTCTTTTTTATGTTGATGTAGGCAAAAGAGCTAGCTATCCACCTGATAATAAGTGGTCAGTGCCCATGGACACTTGCAGCACCAAGGGCCAATCATGCGTTGCCGGCTCTGAACGAAAAGGTTCATCTGCCTTTTTAAGATTACCATATCATAGCTATAAGAAAAAAATACTAAGGGAAGTTCGTTCCTGATCTTGCTGGTACGCAAAAGAAAGGAACACATGGTGCTCGAACGCCAGGCGTCCAGATGGTGGGCGTGAAACTTCTCTGCGGTGTGTGATGCTGTGAAAAAGCTTGGCCACTGGCATCCGGTTAAATAATTCCTCGGAACACTCTCCATTGTATAGACGGTACAACACGTACAAGGAGTTGCGTCCTTGTGCGTGTTGTACCGTCTGCGTAGTTAAGGGGTTGCAACGCGTGAGTGAGCTCAGGATCATCGATAAGTCAAACTCCCCGCTTTTGCATCCGGCAAGAGGAAGGAGCTGGTATTGGGGTGCTCCAGCCCAGAGGACTAGTACTTTGTATAATAACACCCGATATTTAGGCTTGAGGACCTTACTATATCTATTGAACACCCAAGCTTTTTCACAAACACATGTCTTTGCTAGGTTAATCCAATCAAATTTTGTTGGCTCCAATTTGAGACTTGATCCAGTAACATCTCAATCTCGGACACAAGTCTGTCTGTACACCCTTCTACTTCCATCCGAGGGATGTTTGACCGACCAGTGTAAAAATAATCGAATTGGAATAGTTTGCGAGTCCGAAATGTCATTGTCAAATTTTGTATGAAAACTTGATCAGCAGCACCATAACGGACGTAACGAGAACTAAGAATCGGTACACATTTGACAATGACATTTCGTGCTCGCAAACGATACGAATTCGATACTGGTTCGTGCTACTGATCTTTGTAGGAAGTCAACATTTACGGTTACAGTGTTAGAATAGATTTATTTATTTTCAAAGACATATTGACGGATCAATTGGCGATCAAAAACAGAAAATTTATAAACCCGGACTACAAATGAAACCCCGCCCGGATGCTCCCCGGACGCCCTGTAAACTAGGACAAATCCGGGGAAACCCGGACGGATGGCAGTCCTACTCATAACTAACAAAGTACATTATAAATCGGAGTTTTCAGTATTTGTCGTCGAAATACAGCATATGGGACATCTTATACCAAAATTTTACATTCCTAACTTGTTTCGATGTTGAGATAGACCTACGGGGTCTTTTTTAGACAAAAGTGTTCTAAAAATTACAACTTGACGTTGTCTATGTTATTGAAAATAAAAATTATAAATATCTTAAAGCTCTAGACAAAGATGTGATGATGAGATACTAGGGTAAAAAAGAAAAAGTATATTTTCGTCTCATAACTAAATACTCGGCTTTAGCCAAGCATTATACACAAAATACCTTCGATCAACAATTCTATAGATAGCGGGTCAGCGCGTAAAATCTGTCTCGGTAAACACTTGGGATGTGAGATCTTATTTTAAATTAGTTCGGTTAATACAAAACGAAGTAACTCGCTGGCCAATGACTGGTAAAAATATTTTATTTTGTGGGTCGCACATTTTCCTTTTTTTTACCATTATACGTTTTTTCCAAGTATCAGATATAATTTATAAAAGGAACAAGAGTTCGTTTTAAAGGATCAAAGGTCGTATGTGCGAAATAACATTTTGTTATTTATAACCTTATTCCTTTGTGAGATAGTTGTTATTAGGTTCAACTTAAACTGTTTTAAAACATTCATCATTGTTCATTGGGACTTGAAATAGCTGCATAAGTTTAAACATACGAGGACAGTTTTTAGCTTAGATTTTGTATGAAACCAGGTATCTATAGAATTGTTGATCGAAGCAAAATACCATAATTTCAGTTCTCTTACTCATTCCGTTTTCGATCTAGAGACCCGTGGCATACGGACAGACAGACGACAGAGTGACAGGAACCCTATTGGGTTCCATTTTTACCCTTTGGGTACGGAACCCTAAAAAAGGACGGCGTTCTAGTGAGCATCTTATTTATTACTACAAAAATATCACAAACATACTTTAATTCTAACTATTGAAAATACCAGCGCACCCTATAAACCTTGTTTTACCTGGTAAAAATATTAAAACATCTTAAGTGCCGAAAGATATAAAAGTATGGAGTATTGGATTTATAATCTAAATAACTTAAGCCTATTAACCTTTGGCAGCCTTGTGATAAACTGGTGAGCATACGCTTGTTCGGCGGCAACCAAAAGATCATCCTCGGTAGCATCTTCGCGGCCGTAGCGAATATTTTCTCGGATTGAAGCATCGAAGAGGACCGGTAACTGTCCAACCAACCCTATCTGGCTTCGTAGCCAACACACCGAAAGATTGCGTACATCGTTGCTATCTAAGTACACCTGATAAAGATACACTTTAAACAGGAACAGAATACAACACAGCTCTCACAGTCATCAACATCATTTATTCTGAGCGTAGTAAGCGACACGACACGACAGTACGTAAAGATATGTAGGTCATAGCAGATTTTTCGCTCGAATTGGAGCGGCCTGGGCAAGTAACGTCCACCTTACAGAAGACAGAAGACACAGTCAAAATAAAACTACTTACCTATTGCTGGTCTTGTTTCTGCCGGTGAATAAGGTGCCAGGGCTCCACGGAGTAGGGGATTGGGTAAGGGTAGGCAACTGCGTGAGTGACAATGTGTATCGCAAGCGTCTTTAGACTATGGTGGCCGCTTACCATCATCAGGCGGGCCATTATGGTTGTTTGCCACTTTTTTAACATAAAAAAGCAACAACGTAGCAATAGCATAGTAATTGGGAGGTTCTTTCTGTTCTGGGTTCGTTTGGAATGTCACGATATCCTGCTGTGTATTATGATATCGTCGCACTACACTTGAAGCACACGTAACAGCGGACGGTTGAAGTATTTGCTGGGACTTCTAACTCATAGGTATATAAGATTTGAATCATGCAGAAATCCTCTTATCGGTTATAGAAGATTGCATTCACTAACATTGCCGTCCACGACGTCGTAAAAGCGGGCGATGAGTTGTACGACAGTGGACTTGCCACATCCAGAGTGTCCCACCAAAGCTACCGTCTGTCCACGCTTCACAGTCAGATTTAAACCATTTAAAACCTGCAACGAGTGTTCAATCGGCGAATGAGTTTGAAGTTTTGTAAAAACCGAGCAACGGAAGCCTGAAATTGAATAACTCGTTTCCGCTATGCTTCTGATACAATCTTACTACACATCAATCCACAAGAAAGTATTTTTATGAGAGCACCAGTTTGGCGTAGTAAGCTCAACAAGACCACAGAAAAGACAATGCCAAAAGTTCTATAGAGGTTTGACCAACCCGGTAAAATCGGTTTACATGAATGCGATAAATGACATTTGATAGCTGTAATATTATGACACAAAATAGTAAAGTTGTAAATTCTCTAGGAGCTGCGGTTTTTTAATAATATACTGACAAAGTGTACAATTATCATACATTTCTCGAGATGCACTTGAGCATATTTATTGTTTGTCGTGCAACAAAATACACATGCCATGTTTTCGTTCTTCTCCTAACGACAAACAATATTTTAATATTTATTTCGTATTCGCAAGTATAACTAAGTAATAATGAAATTAGTACCTACGAGAAAAAAAGTCGTAATATATTTTTTCATTTTCATATTACTGTAACTGTAAATGGTGGGTCAGAATCTGGTATTGTCATTTTGAACATTTTAGAGGTACTGTATTACTTTTGGAGAAATCAGTCATCTAAAGTGCTCAAGGCTAGATATGAGGTTAGGGTGAGCATTGCACGAGTGAAACTCTAAGTCTATATGCCATAGCGGTCGCATACCATCAGGCGGACCATATGCCTCTTTGCCACGCTTTTTAAGTTGCTGAAACCTACAGAAAATAAATGCGACAGCAAGCCACTGTCACTATTCCGGACGAACAGCCTGGACCAAATGACATAATGTGGCATTATTGAGCAGCTATTATTGCTGAGTACTATGCGATACTGTACTGATTTAAGCTTTTGTGACTTCACACCTTTGATGTTCTTCCAGCTTCAAGCGGCGCACAGGCGTGAGGCGTAAATACGATTCATAGTTACATGCTCTACTATTTTAAATGTGCGTATTGACTATGGAAGGAGGAACTAAAAATGGCGCAGTGGCGAGCGCGTTCGGTCTGTAATCGTAGCAGATAAGCAATTTCCGTAATGGCTGGTTAAAGGATGGAAAGAAAATTCATTATCTCAAGCTCCTCCGTGCTTCGGATGGTTTGTTGGTGCCAACTGCTTCAGCAGTCGTTAAAAACCCACAATTTGCACGTGTGGTGGGTCTTAAACCTTTGTCCATAGAGAAAATATGGATTATTATATTATTGTAATTGACTAATGAAAATTAACGATACAAAATAAACAAGTAAATATACTTGCAGGAACTTCTGGACGTGTAGGATAATGGAACACCACATCGTTGAATGTAATATTTCCTTCGATTTCGATCGGTTTAAGTCCACGGTCTTCTAATGGATTAATGGTTGGAACATTATCAAGCAAATGGAATATCTGCGCGCCCGATCCTCTTGCAGCACCAAATGTTGATACCAATGATCCAACCATACCGAAAGTAGACAAAGCCGTCATAATTCCGAAGAACACCTAGAATATAGTTGTATTTTTGTAAAAGAACAAAGCATAAAGTTAGGTAGAGACATAGTAAATCGGCTAATTATTTGAGCGGGAAAGTTAGCAACTGTACATGAGCAGAAATATTTAAATACCTGTAAAGAACGTGTAAATACTTACAGAAAACATAACGTCAGCGTTATAGTGTTGAGGATCATTGATAACAAGGTAGATGCCGGTATAAAAGGATAAGGCATAGGAGCAAAAGACACATAAAAATAATGCTCCCATTGAGAGACCCGTGAATAAATCTGAAAATTAATAATAAATTTGTACAGAATAATGAAGATGGGAAAGGGGAGATAAGTATGAAAATGCTTGTGATCAATAAACAATGAAATCGCATCTGAAACCTGCACGGGATGGAATTTTTTTTTCTAACAATATTTTCTGTAGATTTAAACATGTAGCAGCAATCAGCAAAATAATCAACAATTAAATTGTAAGTTTACCTATTTTGACCTTTTATAGTAAGACGCATTATCAAAACATCGCAGGTGTTGTAAGCTAATTTACCCTACCTACTTCACCTGCTGTTAAGTGCTGACTATAAAGGCAAAAAAAAAACTTGATGGCCGGCGTAAAAGGTAACATTAAGTACCTAGATCTTTTACCCCATGGAAACTTTTTCGCCAACGGCAATACAACACGGCTAAAAGGCAGTTTTATATTTAACTTTACTTTGCTATTCTGTAATCTGAACGTTACCTACTTCCCTAAATTCGAGCAAATTCGAAAAATACCCGATTCGAGCAAGAAGTCTGATTATTCTTAACCTAAAATAAAGTTATAGGTACAGACAAAAATGTAGCTTATCTGTGCCCGACATTTAGACTTTTTATAGATATCCACGAACTGATGGAACGATAAACGATAAAAAGTGACATGCACCTCTCTTAATATATATTTTCCGTGCCCTACTCAGGGGTTGCCTGTATCTCTCTAATTCCTTTTGTTGGCCGTTAAATGCGAACACAGTGCGAATTGAACTTAAAACCTCCTCAGCGATGGCACTTGCACGACCTTTTTCCATTGCACCCTTTTTGGAAAGACTGTCTGCAATCTGGAACGTTGATACACTGAGTGTGTGTGTGGGAGGAAGAATGAGAGACTAGGAGGAATATAGAATAATAATTTATATAGAAGGAATACCTACTATAATAAAAACTATTTCGTTAGATCGGTACTGTACCCTTAGCACGAACCAATATCGAATTCGAATAGTTCAATTCGATCTCGATACGCGATATTGGTTCGTGCTAAGGATACTGTTATAAAAATTTAAGTAAATGTGTTGAAAAAACCTTATAATTTTTTTCACACAATATGCATTTACAGAGATTGTATACGTTGTACAAGAGTTCAAAATAAAAAAAAATACGTGCCATATAACGGAGCGTGTATGAGACATGGCGCCGCGCGTTTCCTTTACGCTATCTTTTTTTAATTTCGGTCTAAGCTCCTTGGAAGTGCATTAAATCTATAATATTTGTCTCATTTTAATACTAAAAAGAAATAAAGTCGAAAGACGAAAAAGTGATTCTTATTTTCACCACCCACCCGTGGCGCTATTTGGAAACACAGTTTGCTTCACTACCTTAATTAGACGTAGGTACTGTTTTCTCGCATATTTTGTTTAATGATTTGGGTCTTTACGCACTACTAATAGTTTAAAATAATACTCACTCTTCCTGTAAGTCCAACAAGCAGAAACGTAGCAGGCGTGGTGGTAAGACACAATAAAGCCAATTTCCAGCCCTTGAGCATTGCCATCAAGACGCACCCAATGCCGATAGTAAGGTTGTAGATGAACGAAGATACTTTGTCGCCAATTCCTTCTTCTACTTTTATTATATCACTGGTAATTTTTTTATCAAATAAAAACGAGAACTTATTAGATATTCAGCAATCACTATTGTAAATGGGAAGTAATTAATTGATATGCCATTTTTAAATTTAGTTAGCAGTAAAACAGCCAATTAATAATTAGGCCAGAACCCAAAGATTTTGTTAGCAATAATAAAAATGAGGCTGCAATTCTTGTTCTGTAAACAATCATGATAATGGTCAGTTAGTTAAGCATGAGCAGGCAGCATGTTTTGTTATGTATCTGCAAAATAAACAGTCAAGCCAGTCAGTCAGTTAGTCAAAAAAATTAAGCAGCAAGATTATACAATTGGGCAGCAGAGAGACATCTCTATAAGCAGTTTATTCGATTTGGGACAATGGCGAAATATTTGTTGATTACTTCAACTATATCTTTAGCGTCTATAGATGTCATTATCAGAAATGTTAATAAAATAATCTCAAAAGATTTATTAAATAATTGAGGAGGGTTGTCTAAGTCTGGAATTAAACATATAAAAAAAAGGAAACACAATTGACTAAGTTTTTTTTTATTGTGGCTTGGCACCATGGCTTTTGAGCCATTTATTTTAAGTGATTTTAGTAATTAAATCAACTTCAAGTATGTTGTTCGTATGTTTTGCATCGCTTTACGTCAAACTATATTTAATTATCTATCAAATTTATCGGGAAACATTATTTTTTAATATTTTACTGAAACCATAATAAATAATCTCCACAATACAAAAAGAGTATGACGCCAATTCTAACGCAAAAAAACTATTACTGCCACTGTCATGCTTGTTATCGAATAGTTGTTATCGTATTACAAAGGTTTACATTGGCGTATTGGGTTTTTTCTGAGATTTGTTTTTTTATGTGACCTGGACTGCTTTTGGTTTTTTGAGATCTACCCCTGCGACTGTTGAGTAGTGCTTGTCTGAGACTTATCTAATATTTTGGACGACTTCTTGTTGTGGATTTTGGACAAGATTCTGTCCCATACTGTGGAATCCATTGTATCTACTATCTTTGATATTGTGATCAAAGGTGTGGAATAAAAAATATAAAAAAATGTATTTTATATTTAATTAATACCCTTTGAGTACACTATTAGAAATCCTTTTTTTATGATTTATCATTGCTGTGGGCATTTTCAAATTGTTAAGTACTTCTTACAGTACATACATTGTATTCGAACTCAATATCGGTCAGTACCTACGCTGATCATACATTACATTATAAAAATCATTATTTTTCATCACTAATCTACGGGACGGACGAAAAAATACTCTTGAAAGTACTTTTGTATTTATTGGTACCTATTACATAAACTCCAAAACTTCAAAAGAGAATATTTATAAAACCAGACTTCCTATAATAAAGAAATAAGACGAAATCGAGAACGTAAACTCTGTAAATTAACATGAAATTAACTTAAAATCCATTTAAGGGCGCAACAAAAAATTTGGAGTTTGCCATTGTCCTTTGGTTAGCAATATAAAGTTGGAAAGCGTTTTTATTAAAAATCAGAAGAGTTCGTTAAAACTAGGCGCCTAAATATGAAAAAGAAGACGTGACCGGGCCCTTAATAGACCAGGGTCTATATGTACATAAAGACGAGCGATTTCTGCTGATTGTTCAGTCAGAAACTCTACCAAACACATGAAAGCACGTAACATAATACGCTGTTTGTTGTTTGAGGCCCAATCAATGTTGCCGTGCTATCGATAAGAGCAGTAAGTATTATTTACATAGTTTCGAGAAAATGTTGTTCAAAGTTTTCGTTACACTTATACTTGTTCTGACTCTTTTTTTTTAAGTCAACTAAGGTAAAAAGAAAGTACTTTTTTTATTGCGAAATCGTTTAACTTGTATTTATAACAGATTAATCTTAAATGGTAAAATATCTAAAATATTGAACCTAACCTTATTCTTAATGAAATTTATAGTTCCCGTTGAGCTAAAAATATGGCAGTTAGATCATATTGTAGAGCTCATCGCGCTGATACCGAATGGTTAACTCAATTTTGTCAAAAAAACTTATTGCTCTATCGATAGTACGGCAGAATGATTAGCCAGAAGTACCTTTAAAATACGTAGAATGAGGTGCATATATTAGTATAATTGTAGTTTCATATTACGCTTACGTTTAGACCGGAATGGCGGCGCGAGTACTTTCTTACTGAAAGCGGCGTAAACTTTAGACAGTGAGAATCACCTTTAAATAGATCTAAATACATAAGGCGATTCTCACACTGCCCTGCACTTCGCTGCGGGGTGATCTGCACCATTATGAGGGATTGCAGATCTGCATCGTGCTGCAGATTATTTTTTAGCATACAAACTCGTGTTTCTCTGCATGTAGACGCGAGTGATCTGGAACACTGCGCGGGAAACTTTTCAAGTGGTACCAGTCTTTATAAGTTTGTAGATAAAGTTTAAATTTTTTTCACACCAATTTCAGTGAAAAAGTGCTCGACGCAACGCTGCCGGCGACGTAAAGAAGAAAAATTATTATACTAACTCGGCCATTTTAGAGGCAAAGTCGCCAGTGTGACAAAGATCAAAATAAGCAAAATCTTGATTGAGGGCACTTTTCAAATATTCTTGTCGTAGCTTGAAAATCTGTAAACCAATACAATACCCGCTGATATGGATTTATTCGTAATGTAAGTACATAACTAATAATATTCTGAAATGGCTGAAGCTAAATATATATATTCAAACCTGATTCAGAGCCGCGATCTTAGAGAGAGCAGTGCCCAAATATCCACTCAAAAACAAAATAATTCCCACACAAGAGTATTTGATGGCAAACGTGTGTAAAGAGTTTAAAAACTGCTCGTTATTCTCAATGCTATTGTCTCCATCTTTTGCATATGAAATCATGTCTTGGAACACTCCCGCCACCAAGGTTATAGCATACGGCAAAATCATACCGGCCACCGCATTACATAATAAAGATATGGCGATTAATAACTTGTCCCACTTAGACGCAAATCTGTACTGTAAAATAAATTGTATTCAAATATTTTTAAAAACTAATTTCGTGCATCATAGTGTGTGAACATCATGCTTACAATCTAATATAATATTCTCTTTATTATTTGGTCTATTCTATATACTTTTGGTACCGTCGCGCTGCCTAGCCGGCTGCGGTACTTTCTTCTATGTATCTTTTACACGCGTTTTTCGCTTTCCAGTAATAACAACAATGCTTTACTGTAAAGACTTACAAAATATTCACGCGCGGATCTATACCGGACCCATAGCGGATACGATATGGAAAAGCATTACCCAGAATATCATTGCAGAGAGCGGACCCATTAATGTAAATTGTCCAATTGCAGATTCGCTTTTCTCTTCGCTATTATTTATATCTCTAACATTGTAACAATATTTCTTTTTCCTTCAACCTATGCACAGATACCCCCATAAGCAACTGTTGGTCAACTTGTTGATGCGATGCTGGCTGACCATTGATAATAACTTTCATCAAAATGGTAATGGAGTACCTAAGTCCTTAGTATTGTCATAGTAATACTAAAACCCATTTCCCATATTCATCCCACAGGCAACAATATTCCTTAACCTTCGACAGTTGTATGAATTGGTATGTCCCCAAGTGTATTGGTCGGTCGCAAATTGTATGCTTATATCTACATAATTTCTTACCCAATATTCTTAAATATACTGAAGTCTGCTATCTAGATTTTACAGAGATCCAGTTTAATAACTTGAGCGAACTTGTGTAGCTTCTGAGTATTTGTATTTTATTTATATTTGGTTTACGTAATTAATTATACCTAATCTGTGTTTCTCAATTTCGTTTACAGATGCAATTTAAATGGCTACCTTCTTCTCTTCGTCGAAATACCAAATGTCTCATTATATTTTACGCTCATTCTTTTTTCTTTGTTGAAAGCTGACCTTACACACAGCAGATGACACGAAGTAAAGACAAAGTAATTGATAAAATCAAGATTAAATTAACTTACCAAAGTAAAATACGATATGCTAGTAGGAACAGTTTTCTTACTCTGCGACGTTTTCTCAATGTCATCTCTATAAAACAACAGGAGTTTAATAATGCATAATATAAATAAGTACCTACCAACTTATTACCGTTAACCCAATAAATTTCAAGAATATACAACGGTTAAGCAAAATCACAAAATATTCAGCGAAAATAAAAAGCAGTTTAATCATGAATACTCAATCGGTCATCACCTGTTTTTTTTATCCTTCCGTCGCATTTTTACCTGCTAATATTTAAGTAATTAACGTTATCCATAAGAATAAACCTAACTACAATTTATACCTTCAGATAATAAAAGTACCTATAAACAAATAAATTCACAACAATCGGCAACAATAAAAAATAACATAAAAATATATGTTTTTGACAACTAGGTCAAAGACAATGTAAGTACATAAACCAGAGGCAGACACGATCACATAAATACACGTTTATAGTTCATAGCTATGACATTCTTCGTCCTAGATCAGAGCTATATTGAAAGAAACGTAAAAAAACTGGCATGTGCTGTTCACATGCGATAGAAGTGAAATCTACAAAAATATCAACACGTAAAAGTCCTTCAGCTAGTGATGTAACGAATATTCTCATTCGCATTTGCAAATATTCGCATATTTTTGAATATTCGCATTCACATTCGCATTCGCAAAATCTCTGCGAATGTTTTGCGAATATGAATAATAGAAAAAAAACAATTTGAAGAAGTTGTAGCTCTGCCTTTCCTTGAATATTCATTGTTACACAGTTTGCATTTAGCTCGTTCAGCATCTCAAAGTGTGAAATAAGTCCACGTTTCACTAGAATTCGATTTACTCATGTTTATAAATCACTATTACCACTCACAATCACTAACCTCAAAATTCACTTGTTTTGTTTACGGAAAGACCGGTGCGATTGGAATGACACTTCAGTCGGATGAGTTCATATCAACTCGGCAATTCGAACGAGATTGCCACCATGCCATAGACAATTGGCACCAATTTCAAAAAATAAATAAATATTCGCATTCGCGAATGTCGGCACCAGACATTCGCATCCGCATTCGCATTCGCGAGTGTTCAGAAAATGACATTCGTTACATCACTACCTTCAGCCGGCACACAACACACACTTAAGCACATATACCAAACGTTTAATACTTAACTATTCAGGTATTGTATAATACTGGGCAAAATTAATTATTCCATGCTTAAATTGTTTCATAAAATAAATAATAGTTTAATAAAAGAAAAAAAAAACAATTTAAAAAATAACCGAGCTCAGTTTCGTACCACCAATAAGTCGGTGTCGACCTCAAGACCGTTACCGTACGGCTATCTGTCTCTTGCAGAAAGTTACAAAATTACGGATACCTTGTGTCAAATACTGTTAAAATTTTGTTTCATTGAGTTTCAAGTCACAGCGGTGCTAAAGAAGTTTTCACTTCAAAAATAGATTGTGTTTTCAATTATTGCTTTGTCTTTGATTAATTGAGTTTTTTTAATCCTACCAATTGCAAATAGGCTTTTAAAACATCACCAAAGAACGAAAACTTTGGGCAGTTATCCCACCGTCAGGTGCGCCGAAGACGAGGAGGTTAAGCGCTAAACTATCGGCTATTTTCTCGCACAAAAAACGTACAATAGATATTATTATGACGACCTCCATGGTCGAGTGGTTCGTACGCCGGGTTTCATGGTGTCGCCGAAGAAACAGAAGAAACACCATATTTTAATCATTGATCGCTGACTGTCTACACTGCAGGCGAGAACTACTTCTGCCAGCCCTAGCTGCCTCCTTTAACTCTGTAGTGACTTTACTAACGAACCGTACATATGACCTGTGTGATGAGGAACATCTTCAAGAAGAGTTGAAGCAAGTTCGATGAGTCTTACAGAGTAATGGATACCAGGGACACTTTCCATCTAGACACAAACTAAGACACCAGAGACAGAGTAGACAGACAACCTGTTTATTTGCCATATTATGTCAAAGGAGTGACTGTTAGTTATGGTCACTTGACATTGTCACTTAAGAATTCGTGATGTATGAAGAAAAACTAATGTCATGTAACGTTGTGACTATTTTTCCTTAAATAAGTAATATGCGCACAAAGCTCTATATTATTAATAGGTTATGGGCCGCATCACCCATAAAAGTGCAGAAAAGAATGAAATGAGATAAAGAAAAGAAATAAATATAATTTATCGAAAAAGTAGAACAGAATTTGTAAAAAAAAAGAAAATGGCTGCTAGTACGACAAATTTTCCGCAGCTACACGCTGAAAATTACAACAATTAGCTTTTTAGAGTACGTTGCATATTAGAAGAAAAAGGTCTAAATGAAATAATAAATGATACAGAAACAAAAAGTTCTGATTTTTCGACTAAAGATGCAAAAGCCAAAAATATTATCGTACATTGTTTGCCAGACAAATATTTGAACATTATTAAAGACTGCGCTATGGGCTTCCAAATGCTAGAAAGAATAAATGATACATTTCATAGAAAAAGTGTCATAACGAAAATTCACTTCAGAAGAAAATTATTAAATATAAAACATAGTAATACGGAAAGATTAGAAGAATATTTTTCGAGATTCGATGATATAGTCAGAGAGCTACAGTGCGCGGATGAAAAGATTAGTGAGATGGATAAAATATGCTATTTGTTGATTGGATTAAGTGAAAAATATGATAATGTAATTACGGCGATCGAAACATTGAGCAATGAAAACCTAAAACTAGAATTTGTTAAATCAAGACTATTAGACGAGGAACTGAAAATGACAATGGCAAATTCAAATGAAAACTCCAAATCAGATGACGCAGCTTTCATCACATGCTATCGATGTAACAAGCACGGACATATAGCATCACAGTGCAGAGGCAGAGGTCGAGGTAGATATAGCAGACGTCAGACGAATCAACGTGGTAGAGGTCACCACGAGTATGAAACGAGACAGGATTCTTTAGCAGCTACCACCGCTTTCAGCTTCATCACTTCAACAGAATACTGCAATACGTCGTACAAAGTCGGAGAGATAGAATGGGTAATCGACTCAGGTTGTACGGATCATCTTGTTCAGGATAAATTTGAGAATAGTATGAGTAACATCGAAAATTTAGAAAAAGAGGTGAAGATTCATATTGCTAATGGAGATTTTCTTATAGCTAAAAAGGTAGGTGAAATTAAATTGTTGGCCAATGGTCATATTACAGCTCTTAAAGCGTTAATTGTGAAAAACTTAAAATTTAACTTATTATCTGTAAATAAAATTCTAGAAAATGGTTATACTGTTAATTTTAACAAAGATAAAGTTTATATAAATGATAGGAGGTCTGGTAAATTTCTGGTTGGTCTAAAGCAGGGTAAATTATTCACTCTAAATACAGAACTTGCTCTTAGTGCAGGAATTAACTCTGACTATCTATGGCATAGGCGCTTAGGACATCTTAACCGACGTGGGTTGAAGATACTCAAACTTCCCGTAAGCAATGAGGTATGTGGACCATGCATGCAAGGTAAAGCTACTAGATTGCCTTTTGTTCCAGTAGCAAGACCAAGATCTCGAGCTATAGGTGAATTGATTCACACTGACATAGCAGGACCAGTGAATATTCCAGGAATATACGGACATCTGTACTATCAAGTAATAATTGATGATTATTCGCATTTTTTAGTGGTCAGTCTGCTTAAGCACAAAGGAGAGGCAACAAACAATTTGATAAATTATATAAACAAAATTGAAACACAGTATGGGGCAATAGTAAAGAAGATTAGATGCGACAGCGGAAAGGAATTTAGAAACAATACTTTAGAACATTTTTGCAAAAATAAATGTATAGATATTCAATACACGCAACCATACTCACCACAACAAAACGGAGTCTCTGAACGCATGAATCGAACACTGTATGACAGAGCTAGAACCCTAATGGTAGAGTCATGTTTACCTAAACACCTATGGAGTGAGGCAATAATGGCGTCAGCATATCAAATAAACAGATGTCCTTCATCGACAATAAATTTCAGGACACCAGCCGAATTGTTTTTAGGCAGCAATGATCTTAGCAGATTACGTGCATTCGGAAGTAAAACATGGGCTGTAATTTTACCAAGAAGATCCAAATTTGAGCAAAGAGGTCGAGAGTTACGAATGGTAGGTTACTCAAACAATGGTTATCGTCTATGGAATCCAATGAATAATCAAATCGTAGAATCGCGTGATGTTCGTTTTGATGAGAGTGATGTGACATTTAAGGAAAGTAAAGATAATAAGAAAGAAGACACAATATGGACTGAGGAAGAAAAAGTAGAAGAAACAGAAGAGATAAGTAAGGAAGGAACTTCACATGAACAAGATAGAAAAGAAAATGATAAAAAAATTGTAGAAGAGAGAACTGAAGAAAGTGTCAATGAAAATGAAACAGAAATAGAAGAATTAAAGAAAACTAGATCTGGAAGAATTTGTAAAACACCAACGTATCTACGAGATTACGATTGTGACGAAGACGTAGTAAATGAATATGAAAGTAATATTGCTTATTGTTTAATGACAGATCCTCAAACGTATGAAGAAGCAATTGAAGGAGGAAAGGAATGGCAAGATGCGATTGAAAGTGAACTTAATTCTTTGAAACAGTTAGATACATGGGAAGAAGCAAGATTACAAAAAGGGAAGAAAGCTATTGATACCAAGTGGGTTTTTCGAACAAAACAAGGAGGAAAGAAGAAAGCTAGATTAGTGGCTAAGGGTTTTCAAACAGAAAATAGATATAATGTTTATCCCCTGTTGCTAGGCTGTCTACATTAAGGATGATGTTTTGTTTAGCAGTGCAAGAAAACTTACCTATGAAACAACTTGACGTACCCACAGCATTTTTGAACGGACATTTATTAGAGGAAGTGTATATAAAACCACCAAAAGGAGTAAAGATTAATAAAAATAAGGTCCTTAAATTGAAACGTTCATTGTATGGTCTTAAAGAAGCACCGAAATGTTGGAACAAGAGATTTCATAACTTTATTATTTCCCAAAATTTCGAAAGCTCTAAATATGATTTTTGTCTGTACACAAGTTCAAAAACATGGATACTTATCTGGGTAGATGACATTATTGTGATGGGAGATTATGAACCAATAATAAGTGAACTAAGAAAGGAATTCAATGTGAAGGAGATGGGAGATATCAGTGAATATTTAGGAATGGAAATATCAAGGAAAGAAGGAGAATTGGCAATTAAACAAGAAAAACTAGTGAAGAAGGTATTATCAAGGTTTGGAATGGAAGATTGTAAGGGAGCATTAACACCCATGGAAGCTAACATAAATTTAGAAGAAGAAAAGATAAATGATGTGCCTTACAGAGAGCTTATAGGATGTCTTACGTATATATCAACTACTACTCGTCCAGATATAACATTTGCAGTTTCGTTTCTCAGTAAATACTTAGATAAACCTACAAGATCTATATGGACAGCAGCAAAGCGTGTACTTCTATACCTAAAGTCTACATCTACTAAAGGACTGCTATACACACAAGGAGTCTATGATAAAAATAAGCTAGTAGCATATAGTGACGCAGATTGGGCATCCGACAAAGCCGATAGAAAAAGTGTGAGCGGATGTGCTATATTCTATTCGGGTAATCTTATTTCTTGGTTTACCAAAAAGCAGAACACCGTTTCTCTATCGTCTGCAGAAGCGGAATATATAGCGGGAGCAACAACAACGGCTGAGATAATATATCTGCAAGGTATTCTCAACACATTTAAGTGTAAGGATGTTCACACTTATCTGCTCATAGATAGTCAAAGTGCAATTCGCATGATAGAGTGTAACGAAAACAGCAAACGCACTAAGCATATCGATATAAAGTTCCATTTTGTCAAAGATGCTTTTATCCAAAAGAAATTTAGAATGTCATATGTTTGTACTAATGATAATGTAGCGGATATATTTACAAAACCTCTCAATTCTGTAAAGCATGCCTACTTTGTTAGAAAGTTAAAAGTTGAGTAAAAATAAGTGTTATATATAGGTTGTTCTAATTTGGTGTTAAGTTATAGGTGCTGTTAATAAATTGAGTTAAGTAGGTAGTGGTAATTTTATGTTATGATTTTTATTTGAGAGGAGACTTTGTTTGTTTAAGTATGTAAATATTAATAACTATTAGCAATATCAAATTGTTTGCAATTTTACATTGAGAGGAGGTGTTAGTTATGGTCACTTGACATTGTCACTTAAGAATTCGTGATGTATGAAGAAAAACTAATGTCATGTAACGTTGTGATTATTTTTCCTTAAATAAATAATATGCGCACAAAGCTCTATATTATTAATAGTGACTGACAAGATCTCAAACATACTGAATAAGTACGTACTAAACACTGACTTCACTCCTTTACGAAAGGTTTCACCATTGATGAACGATTGGTCTCGCTTCACTCGGACTAGATACCGCGCTGTCAAAAAACAACAGCTTCGAAAATGCGGCAATTCATTATTGTAGTGTGTTTATGTCAATTTGCTCTTTGATGGAAGGATGCTATCTTATGTCACGAATCGTGCAGCCAGCTGCTTAACTGCTACCCAAGTAATAGGGAAAATATTGTATGCTGTGTTTTATTGGATATAAATGTAGGTGGTTATAATTAATATGTTACAGTATTTGTTTCTTAGGTTTTCACGCACATCACTCATTAAATAAAACTAGTTTTTACGGGTTAATGCACGAAACTTTATTTATTTATTGACGTTTCGCAGCCTTTTCAGGTCTGCATCGTCAGAAAAATGATTTTTTATTTAAAATTGTCGAGCTACCTTCGAAAGACTTATATTGAGCGTTCGGTTATTTCATTGGAAGATTTTTAAAATTTTATTGTCTATGTATGAATTTATTATTTAATTTACTTAATAAAGTATTTTATTTAAAATTCTTGTTTGTAATTTTGAGTTTATTTATTTGACCCTAACTACCGTAAACTACCACCGGTTCCAAAATTGGGAGACCTTCCTGAGAAGAACCGGAGAAACAAACTCAAGAGAGGCTGTCTATCTCCTTCTTATGTTAAATTATGCAAACAAAAAGAACTAATAGTATCTGATGGTCTTGCAGTGTGTGCTCGGGGTTGGGATTTTATCTCCTGTATAATAGGTTCCCAAGCTGGTGGTATATACCAACCATCTTCCCTATTGAAATTTGGATATTTTTTAATCTCAATAGCCTCGCGCATCATTCGAGGAACGAACCGCCGCTCAGCTGCAAGGATCTGTGGTCTATCAAATCTAATGTAGTGGTTTGGTCCCCCTAATGCATGTTCACACACTGCAGATTTATTTTCGCGCCTATGTTTCATATCTGCGATATGTTCTTTTACCCGAGTCCCTATACTCCTCTTTGTTTGCCCGATGTAGGAGAGCCCACAGTCGCATTCAAGTTTGTAGACACCAGCAACTTGAAAGGGTATATTGCACTTGACCGGTCGTAGAAACTGGTTGATCTTCTTTGGCGGCTTGAAGTATGTATTGATTGAAGCACGCTTCAGAATCCTCCCAATCTTGTCAGTGACTCCTTTCATGTAAGGTAGTATAGCAGGTTGTCGGTCGGTCGACTGTACTAGGTTTGACGCGACTGTGACGGCGGCGTGGTACATTCAGGTTATTATCCTTCAGTACTTGCTCGACATGCTGAAGTTCAGCTGCCAGGTGTTGTTCGTCACAGACACCCCGTGCTCTCTGAAACAAAGAGTTTCCTACGGCAGTTAATTGTTTCGGGTGATGGTGTGAGTCACCATTGAGGTACCTATCAGTATGAGTCACTTCACGATACACAGTATGGCTTAAACTTTGGTCAGGATTCCTGATTAATAAAATATCTAGAAAAGCTAGTTTACTATCTGCCTCTAACTCCATAGTGAATAGGATGTTAGGGTGTATAGAGTTAAGATGATTTAAAAAGGCAGAAAATTTGATCTGTTGGGAGGATTGTGAAAGTATCATCTACGTACCGATAGCCTGGGTGTGACAGGTGCTGCGCTGAGAGCCCTCTTCTCGAAGTCTTCCATGAAAATATCGGCGACAACAGGTGAGACAGGGGAACCCATTGCAACACCCTCCATTTGTACATAGAAGTCATCCCCCCATAACAGGTAGCCAGAAGTAAGGCAATGCTCCAGTAATACTGCATATTCTATAGGCATATTATTTTCAAGTAGCTTCTTCTTAGTGATTTCAATGCAGTCCTGTACTGGTAGGCATGTAAATAAGGACTGAACATCAAAACTGACCATGATTTCATTGTCCATGAGACGTTGATCTCTAATCTCATTGACAAATTGGTATGAATCTTTCACAAAGGCTGTTGTGTTACCTCTCAGTGGTGAAAGTAACTTTGCTACGTGTTTAGCCAAACGGTATGTTGGTGAATCAATCTGGCTTACAATCGGACGTAGCGGAGCATTCGGTTTGTGTATTTTCGGTAACCCATACAGTTTTGGTGGCTTGGGACATGCAGGAATTAGGTAGTTGATGTCAAGATCCAACGTTTCGGAAAGTGATTTGATGAGTTCACTTGTCTTTTTGAGAATCTTGGCGGTCGGATCACTCTTCACAAGATTATATGTGTTCTCATCCGATAGAAGTTGTAGTATCTTGTCGTTGTAATCTGACGTATTCATTACTACCGTGGCGTTTCCTTTATCTTAACTCTATACACCCCAACATCCTATTCACTATGGAGTTAGAGGCAGATAGTAAACTAGCTTTTCTAGATATTTTATTAATCAGGAATCCTGACCAAAGTTTAAGCCATACTGTGTATCGTAAAGTGACTCATACTGATAGGTACCTCAATGGTGACTCACACCATCACCCGAAACAATTAACTGCCGTAGGAAACTCTTTGTTTCAGAGAGCACGGGGTGTCTGTGACGAACAACACCTGGCAGCTGAACTTCAGCATGTCGAGCAAGTACTGAAGGATAATAACCTGAATGTACCACGCCGCCGTCACAGTCGCGTCAAACCTAGTACAGTCGACCGACCGACAACCTGCTATACTACCTTACATGAAAGGAGTCACTGACAAGATTGGGAGGATTCTGAAGCGTGCTTCAATCAATACATACTTCAAGCCGCCAAAGAAGATCAACCAGTTTCTACGACCGGTCAAGTGCAATATACCCTTTCAAGTTGCTGGTGTCTACAAACTTGAATGCGACTGTGGGCTCTCCTACATCGGGCAAACAAAGAGGAGTATAGGGACTCGGGTAAAAGAACATATCGCAGATATGAAACATAGGCGCGAAAATAAATCTGCAGTGTGTGAACATGCATTAGGGGGACCAAACCACTACATTAGATTTGATAGACCACAGATCCTTGCAGCTGAGCGGCGGTTCGTTCCTCGAATGATGCGCGAGGCTATTGAGATTAAAAAATATCCAAATTTCAATAGGGAAGATGGTTGGTATATACCACCAGCTTGGGAACCTATTATACAGGAGATAAAATCCCAACCCCGAGCACACACTGCAAGACCATCAGATACTATTAGTTCTTTTTGTTTGCATAATTTAACATAAGAAGGAGATAGAAAGCCTCTCTTGAGTTTGTTTCGCCGGTTCTTCTCGGGAAGGTCTCCCAATTTTGGAACCGGTGGTAGTTTACGGTAGTTAGGGTCAAATAAATAAACTCAAAATTACAAACAAGAATTTTAAATAAAATACTTTATTAAGTAAATTAAATAATAAATTCATACATAGACAATAAAACTTTAAAAATCTTCCAATGAAATAACCGAACGCTCAATATAAGTCTTTCGAAGGTAGCTCGACAATTTTAAATAAAAAATCATTATACTGACGATGTAGACCTGAAAAGGCTGCGGAACGTCAATAAATAAATAAAGTTTCGTGCATTAACCCGTAAAAACTAGTTTTATTTAATATGTTACAGATTATAAATGTGGCTCTTAAAGTACTTAAAGTAATAGTGAGAATGTGAACAGTGGTACGGGTAACGAACGCAATAAAAGACTTCGTCGGAGGGTAGACCGATATGTCTGCCAATAACAGCCTACCCGCAATTACTTCAGTTACTCCGTGATCATAGCGCTTGCATCAGTGCAGAAATGTCGAAAACTCGCTAAAAACAAGGTACATGTTAACAATACCGTAAATAACGTTTATTACTTTAATACACCACATTGTGGCACTACGATGTCTGATATTAAAATCAAGCAACGTGATGGTCGTCAGTACTGCAATCACTTGACGTCCAGAAAGCGTTCAAAAATTGTGCAGCGGAATTGTCTCCCGTTCTTACGCGCTTGTACCAACTCTCTTAATCTTTGAGGCTGGTGCCGGAGACTTGGAAAGATGCCAATGTGCAGCCGATACCCAAAAAAGGGGATCGTTCAGACCCGGCCAACTATCAGCCGATAGCTGTCACCTCAGTGTTATGCAAAGTTTTAGAAAGGGTCTTTAGTAACCATCTGACCGGCTACCTGGAAGGCCAGTCTCTGACAATCAAAAATGCAATCAAATGAAATAAATATGTATAAATAAATATGCAAATAAACAGAATACTTTATTAAACTCTTAAGCATTACATTTTAACCAAAACTTCCTTAATAATTTTGAATCCTCCTGTACAACAACTTCAGTGAAAAAAACATGCCCTAAAAAGGGGTATTTATTTGTTTTTTTTTTATTCATTACAATTAGAAAGTAAAACTGTTTTTTGCATCTCAATTCTGGCAGCAACCCCAAACATTATATTTAATATCAACTAGGTATGCATTTTTTATCATGTATACGTACTTTATCATGTTATCTTTTAGTGGCACTCACTATCCAGATCCACTCTAAAATAAAGTAGGTATCTACTTATTAAATTCTTATCGAGTAAATAACCATGATAAAGCAAGTTTTTGTAACATCAGTTTTAATATACTTATTTAGTATTATCGTTTGAAAGCAAGTTAGCTGTAGGAAGGTCCATGCTATAAAGTTAATAAAACAATTGAATTTTCGCGCGCAATTTAGGAAGAATCAATTTTAGGTTATTGTGGGTTATTTTAAAATCTTCCTAACCAGTACACGTCATACCAGTTTGAAATATGGTTGTCGCAAAGAAATACGTAGTTCGCGCTCCTTTTGATGGGGAACCTAAACACAGCAACTTTGAAATTGTTGAAGAAACATTGCCGACATTAAGAGAAAATGGTAAATATATACCTTCGTACTTATACCTAGTATTTATTAATACAGTACCAATATGTAGATAACAACAAATTAAAAATTATGTTTTTAATTTTATCAGAGCTTCACTTTTATCTGAACCAATATTTGACATTGACATTGTAATTAATATATTTGACATTTAATTGGCTATTAATAATAATTGAATTTTAATTGAATTATAACTAACCACAAAAATTTGACGATGGGTAATGGGTAATTTTAATGGCTTAAAACCAGCTGCGCTTTGCCTACTCCTTTTTCCAACTCATATTTAATACTCATATGTATTTAATAATAATAATAATGTTATAATAAGGTATGGAAAGAAAGCGCTTGTATTTGTATTTGAATATTTACACTGGATATACTGTACTTCCAGGGCCCAAAAGTAAAAACTTCACAGTTTTGTTGGTTGTAATTTCGCATTTTTGTTGTTAAAAAGGTTTCTGTTAACCACATTATTAAAATAAATGTCACACTTATGCTCTGGTAGTTTTTTGGAAAAAAATATTGAAAATTTTTACTTTTCTTATCAAGTGGTGATACTTCACACTAGGTTAGGTTAGGTTAGTGTTGTGACCATAACGCGCGAGCCGAGCGAGCAAAGCGAGCGTGCCGCGGCAGCGGCCGGCGAAGCGCCAGAAAAAAAACTGTTAAAAAGACTTTTTCTACAAAAAAAAACAAGTATCACCTTTTGGGCCCTGGAAGTACAGTTTTACCTTTACACTAATATCAATCAATATTTAGAATAAGTATTCGAGTATTTTAAAATAATAAGTATATGGGTACGTAATCCTTCTTACTTCTTCTTCTTCTTTGATGGCTTGCGTTGTGACTTAGCACAGCTCCGCCAATGTCAAGTGATTAGCCATTACACGTAAGGGAGTGACAGTTAAAAATCTGAATTTTGGTTACCTATGCACTTTTACCTGTAAAGAAAAACGTCACAATCAGGTCAACACAAACATAACTTCTTACTTCGATTATTATTGAATTATTCAAAATAAATGAAATAAATGAATCTATGCCCGAATTATTGGTTTGAAATTTTCGCCAATCCTCCTTCACGATCCCTTTTATTTCAAACTTGGGAAAAAAATAAGACAATGTAAAATTGAGACTTGCTTTAGCTCAACTTTGCTTACCTATTTTATCATGACGGGATCGCTATCTATTTGAATGTATATTGTTTCGAAGTACCTAGCTTTCTTTTTCTCCATAAGCCAGTTAGCGATGGAGAAAACATGCATCTTCAACACCATTCTTCGCAGGTTTGAACCCATTGGAATACTTATATTATAAATCTGTGTATGTCTACCTGTCTGTCTGTCTATTACCTCTTTACGCTCAAACCGCTGAACCGATTGAGATAAAATTTATATATAATATGATAGTTTTTATAACAGAAATCATCCTTTAAGGGAAAAGGGGATGGAAAGGACATTGCTCTGCGTCCATACATAGTTAGCCTAAGAACCAACAGTCATGAAATATTATTTTCTAGGTTCGAAGTCGCAAGTAAATGACTGTAAAAACAAAGATTATTGACGGACACTTCTGAGAACTAAAATTATTAGGAAAACTAAAATATTTTTGAGGTTATGTTTAATATTCAATGAAACATAGGTCAACCTATGAACTTAGTATGAAGTGAATTAATATTACAACTAATTCATTTTACTCGGTGCGATTTTAAAGAATAACTATTAGGAAAAACTTGGTTAGGTAGGAATCATAAATAAAATAAAAACAATAGTTTTGCTTCTTATTATTTAATGACTATTTTTCACATAATTGTATCATATTGTATTTATTTGTTTAATACATGTATATTGTGTAAATATGCAGCGTGAATGTGTATCAGGTGCTCTTGAATAATTTGGCAGTATGATCCTCTCAGGATGTTGTGGCACAGGTTCACTAGCACTTGGTAATAAGGTCTCTGCACTTTGGTATGTTACGATGGCATATTAGATAGCCGAAATAGTAATAGTTAAATTAAAGGAAAAACAATCGCAAATAAACACACACAACAGATAATCCGAACGAGAATTTTCCGTATTTAAAAGTACTCTTGACGAGATTGCACGAATGCCACAGATTACTACGAATGCAAACTGCCTGCACCACAATCACAGAGTATCGAGTTTATGCCGGCCCTTCACTTGACAACAGTTTGTCCTTGTCATGCTTAATAAGGAATGAAAAGGACAGACTGATGTCATGTTTTTAAATAGCAAATACGAATAGCCAAGTGAAGTGCCGGCATTAGGAAGAAAGTATTTTTTGTTTGCAGTGCTGTCATAGATTATACACATAAAATGGTATTTATTGTTTCAGATTATTTATTAACTTTTTAATTTAGCTTACTTAACTGGAAGTGTCCGTCACAATCTAAATACTGATAATTATCGCAAAAAATATACTAAGAATTATCATAAATGCCAAATTGGTGTTGGTTCTTAGGCCAATTTTAACATTGTCCTTTGTATGGAAATCATTTTTTCCACGCAGACAAAGTTTCGAGCACCCAATAGTTTTATCATTAATTATAAATGCACTTTCCAGAATACTTGGCAGAAGCAGTATACCTGAGCGTAGATCCATATCAACGTATGAAGTTGGGTGACGCTTACCCCTGCGATATGATTGGAGGACAAATTGCAAAGTAAGAACACATGAGTAGTAAATATGTACACGTAGTAAGAACCTTTTATAAACCACACTGCGTAATGACGTCATGAATGGTGTATCAGTCTGACAGGTTTTAATTAGAAAATTACGAACATTTAGGTATTTATTTACTTTTTAAAGTAGGCAATCGAAGCGCAGGGATCTAAAAAAAACGAGTGTGCTTATGACCACACAACTGAAGTGAAACTTCTTTAGCTCCATCTGTATGTATCTATACTATATTTATATATGAGTGTGTACAATATATACATGTATGTACATATACATATTTCATTTACTAGCTATAAAAGAGGGAGAAAAAAACACTTCTCGTAACGCGTGACGCTTTCGCCAGATTCAAAAAGATCCTTCATATAAAAAGGAGACGGTTCCAATTTGTATGGAGGGTAGCAGTTTCCGGCAGACTCCAAATTTTTATGACAGATATTAGTAGTAGTAGGTAGTACACTTAATTCTTAATAATTTCGTCTGACAGAAAATTATAAAAAATATGATTATATTTTTGACGTGCTAACGTATTATAGTTCGGTGACAATCGGCTGCACGCACGAAAAGTGTCACGTCATGTGACTTTATATGACGTCATATTACGAATCAGGGTACTTAGTACGAGTTTTACAATTACGAAAACTATGATAGTTTTCGTGAGCTCGCACTCGTACTAAGGGTACAGATTTTATTGTCTTCGTTTCAATACAAGTAAACAGTGTTTAAATTCTATCATTATATCATTTGCGTCTTCTTAAATTTTAAGTATTTTGGTTACTTTTCACCATAATGTACATAGAAACATATTTACAATTACGAAAACTATGATAGTTTTCGTGAGCTCAAACTTGTACTAAGGGTACTGTTCAGCGTTCCGCGGTGTGTGCGAGGTGAGGTCGAGGGGTTCCTCCGAGCCACCCTCCCTTACCTCCGACCTCCCCTCCAGCCCCGCTTCCTGTCACATGTCTGAGATTGAGCCGACACCGACAATTTATTCCCCGGTATAACCCGACAAAAACACAAGTGTGTGCGTTCACCGAGTAGTACAGTCAATCTGTCGAAAAAAATATCGTTTCAGTGAAAAAAAAACCTAAAGGTAAGTCTTGTTTTTTCTGTTGCCAAATGACGTCAGTGGGCCACCTTGGCGATGGGCATGTTCAACTCGTAGGCGTTTTTTGAAAAACTCAAAAAAACCCTCAAAAAATTTTTGATACGCATTTTTCTTGTTTTGTATGCATTTTAGAAACTTTTTTTTCGACCATAATTGTAGAGGGCGTTGAGTACTACAATTTATGTCATTGTTGCAATCTCGTACAACAAAAAACGCGCATTGTAGGTGGCGCTAAAGTCTCAAAAAAAGTGTTTTTTTCACTTTTTCCCCTGAAAATATCATTTTAATGGAAAACTTTAAATGGAAAAGTTGTTCCGTACATAATTACCAACAACTTTTGTATAAACAATTTTTTTTTATTACTTACCGTTTTCAAGTTATAAATTGCGCAGGTATGAAAAATCCAATAGAGCGGTTTTTGGGCAGTTCAAGTACACATTTGCAGGGCACATTTCAATGTACGTTTATACTATTTTTTTTTTAATTTTTTTTTTCAATCATGAAAAAAAAAATAGTAAAACGTACATTGAAATGTGCACCTACAATGTGCATTTTTTGTTGTACGAGATTGCAATAATAGCATAAATTGCAGTACTCAACGTCCTCTACAATTATGGTCAAAAAAAGTTTCTAAAATGCATACAAAACAAGAAATGCGTTTCAAAAATTTTTTGAGGGTTTCTTTGAGTTTTTCAAAAAACGCCTACGAGTTGAACATGCCCATCGCCAAGGTGGCTTACTGACGTCATTTGGCAACAGAAAAAACAAAACTTACCCTTTAGGTTTTTCCACCACTCAATCTACAGATTGACTGTACTAGAGAAGCAATCCCCATCCGTAGCAGCACCGTATTTCCAAGACATTCCCTTCTGCATCTCTAAAAACATCGGACTTCTAGGAGTCAATATTTCGAATGAATTGCAATTCCGAGATCATTTGGAAGGCATAACCAAACTAATTTGCAAAAGGTTGGGGTGCTCAATAGAGTGAGAAAGTACTTGAAGGCTACATGTGACCATTTTCTTATTTATATTTTTTTATAATTTCTATTGTTTATTTTATCATTAAGTTTAAAGTGTCTCACAGACAGACGCGGCCTGCGGCTGCGGCCTCTCCTATGTGTATTTCTGTAACCACCACGACCCCGGCCGCAGCCGCGGGCTGCGTCTGTCTGTGAGACACTTAATATTGAATATATTTAGTCAAGGGCTGTATATCATGCAAGATTGTTAAACCTATTCCCTTACCAGTGGCGGTGCTAGGCGTCGGCGACGTCGGCCACCGCCGACGGCCTCGATCCTGAGGGGGCCTCGCAAAAAAATTTTTACTAGTTACCTATTTATTTTCGTTTCTCCTGGCCTGGTTTAGGTAGCCGACCCCGAACAATTCGGGGAAAAAGCTAAGCAAATGATAATGACTTTTATTATTTTCGAACACGTGCGTGATGGAAGCGAGTAGTACTTTACGGGTATTCAGAATCGTCTGTCTGGCAACACTATTTTGTAATTAAATTTCTGTTTTTAATTATTTTTTGTCATCATTTGATTATCTATACTTATAATAAATCTGTAGAGAGGTCAATTCTGTACATGAAATATATTTTAAAAATAACTATCAAGGGGTGATAAGTGATCGATACTGATGCCAAAAATGCAATCAGTAAAATTTTTGTCTGTCTGTCTGTCTGTCTGCGTGTATGTTCCTTATAGAAACAAAAACTACTCGACGGATTTTAACGAAACTTGGTACAATTATTCTTCATACTCCTGGGCAGGTTATAGTATACTTTTCATCACGCTACAATCAATAGGAGCAGAGTAGTGAAGGGAAATGTTGGGAAAACGGGAGAAGTTACTCCATTTTTTAAGCTTCCGTCGCGTGTGGAGCCTTAATGGTTAAAGTTACATAGAAATCATGTATGACGGAAATATTCTACATAAAATTGTCTAAAAAATATCCTGCAACAGCATATGTCTATCTTTTATGGTTGACACAATAACACGTGTAACTCCTGATAGCTTAGCAGTTCGGAGCATTCTGATTATATTTGTTTACTCTTACGTTTATAATACTCTCACTCATCCCTAATTTAAAAAAGTTAACATTATTACCTATTCAATAAAAAAAGAATCATAGAAATCGGTATAGAAACACCAAACTTATACATGAAATAAGCCATCGCGCCGTCGCGCGTGAATACTGAATCATGCTTTAAGGATTATTTTTATGTAACGGTTGCCACGCTCGACACGGGTCGTGGCGGCGCGGTAGGGTATAAAAAGGCGGGAGGTCCGAAAGCGAGCTTCCCCGCCCCCCCGATCCTGAGAGACCTTCAGTCGCTCAGTCCCAAACCGATACGGATGCACATCAGGGTGCATCCGTCCTCTAAGCGCACTATGCAGTAGTATTTACTAAGGCAGCGCTGCATCATCCCCTTCTCAGGGGTTGATCGCATCAGATGAAGCCTGTAAGGCCCCTAAGGCCATAGGCACCCCCCACGGGTGTGTTTTAGTCAGTAAGAGTCTGACATAACTCTACAGCCGGCTGTAGGGTATCCATGAGGATTTCACACCCGCTCCCCCGCCTGGGAGGAAACATAAAAAAAAGAAAGCGAGCTTCATTCAATATTTGGCTGTTGATGCGTTCAGAGCGTTCGACCTTATTGACAGACAATAATTGATATTGAGAAACCGTGCTTATCTTAGAATAAAAACCAAACATTTGTAAACAAAATTAGCAAATAAATCATGTAAAACGTGTAGAAAATGAGTACTGGAAAACGGAAATATGAGAATTTTAGTTTGGTTATAAATACATGTAATAAAAATGACCGTTATTATATATCTTAATATATATAAATCTCGTGTCACAATGTTTGTCCTCAATGGACTCCTAAACCACTGAACCGATTATAATAAAATTCGCACACCATGTGCAGTTCGATCCAACTTGAGAGATAGGATAGTTTAAATCTCAAATTATAGTCGCAATTTTAATTTATTGCAAATTATTACTTTAGGTGGTACGTAGTTCGCCGAGTCAGCTAGTATATGTATATAAAAGTCAAAGGGACTAACTGACATAGTGATTTATCAACACACAGCCCAAACTACTGGACGGATCGGGCTGAAATTTGGCATGCAGGTAGATGTTATGACGTAGGCATCCGCTAAGAAAGGATTTTGATCAATTCTACCCCCAAGGGGATAAAATAGGGAATGAAAGTTTGTATGAAGCTTTGTCAATTTTAAACCGATCGGGCTGAGACTTTGCATGCAGGTATAAGAAGAATCATAGATGAATGTCATTGTGTATAATACAAGCCTGACAACAAAAACTGTAGTCTATACTTCAGCTCTACACCGAAGCGAGGGCGGACCGCTAGTCAACAATAAAACTCGTTTACTCATACGTTATTTTATAATTTGGCTCACTTAATTTAACGGTTTTTTACTGCGAAGTAAAATAGGCCTCGCGAACTTGATGTCGCCGACATCCACATGTGGTCTAGCCCCGCCACTGTCCCTTACACTCTTGCTCCCATCCTTTAAACCATTTATTTTCTGTTTCGAATCCTTTCCTCTCCTCTTCTTTCGCCTCTCACCATTATTAAACCGTCCTCTCCTCTCCCTGTCTTTCCCACCCATTCGACCTCCCTGGCTGCATCTCGACGCGGCCTCGGATTCTGATGGGGCTACTATACCAACTATCGAATCCTCTACATCATAATTATGTTATATTAGTCAACTTATAATGTAATAAATAAATGTTTTTTAAAAAAAGCACCGGATGTTGCTTTACAAAACACAGGTCCAGCTGTATATGAAGTACCTACTGCTTGTACCTCGGGGCTGGAGCACCTCAATATCAGTTCCTTCTTTGTGACTGGATCCAAGGCGGTCAGGTTCGACTTATCGATGATCCTGAGCTCACTGCCGGGTTGCAACCCCTAAGCTTACGCTAAGATGCTGCATCTTTCTGTGTGTTGTACAGTCTAGACTGTAGACAATGGGAGTGTTCCGAGAAATTATTCAATCTGGTGCCAGGCGGCCAAGTTCCTTCACCGCACTACACGTCGCAGAGAAGTTTCACTCCCACCAGTTGACGCTTGGCGTTCTAGCACCATGCGTTACATGCGTTCCTTTTTTTTGCGTACCAACAAAATCTGGAACGAACGTCAGCGGATTTCCCTTTTAGCTATGATGTGACGGTCTTTAAAAGGCGGGAAAACCGTTTCTTTCAGAGCCGGTAACACATAAGGGTACTAACCCTTGGTACTGCAAGCGTCCACGGGCGCAAGTGACAACTTACTATTACCTGATGGTAAGTTGTCACTTCCGCCCGTGGACTGTCAGCTCGTTTTCCTGCATAAACATAAAACTAAAATTATTAGAATTACAGAATGACAACTAATTGTTGATCTTTACTCGAGTACAGTTAGAAAGGGTTATCGCTATGTGCTATATATAGCGACATCCCTTTCTTATTATGCTCAAGACTAGATCAATCACTGAGAATCATTGAGGGAGTGTGAGTTTTTAATAAAGTATTTTCATCTTTTGCAGAGTGATAGAGAGCAAAAACGGCGCCTTTCCAATCGGCATATGGGTAATGGGTCACTTTGGTTGGCGGACCCATACTATTGTACGCACTGACAGTGAGAAGATGTCAAATCAAAAACCATTTTCATATGCTTTACCCGATTTCGAATCACTGCCGGTGTCCTTGGGTCTAGGAGTTTGTGGAAGAGTAGGGTAAATTAGCTTGACTTATATCAATACCTACTCAATGTTTCACATGCATAAAAAAACTAAGTAAACTGACGTCATCTTTAAATATCCCCACCTACCTATTTATTCCAGAACTACTAAAAGATACAATTTTTTTTTGAAGTGAAAACTTCTTTAGCTTCGTTGTACACTTTTTTTGTAATGGGTAAAAACTGTTAAACTCCCGTCAGGACACGTGGCGGCCTGATCGCGTCGGGACACGTGACTTAATCGAAAATTCGTAAGACGATAACAATAAAATTGGAAAGGTTGTTGACTTTCAATATATTGGACGAAATATTACTAAGTCTCTAATTAGGACGTCCAAGTGGCAACTTTATTGATTTTTTTACAATAGATGTCGCTAGGTGCGCTTAAATGTGATTCATGTAAGTTGATTTTTCTGAGAGATAAACTTTTTTATGTAATATAAATTCTCATGTTTGTGTACGATAGCGCAATAAATAAATATTGTATTCTACCACATAAGTAAATGATAGTACTTTTATACTGATAAATTAAAGCAATTCGTGCAAAATTATTCCCTAACCATTCCAAAATATCAAAACGTTAATATTCAAGTTTTCACTTCTTTCAACATTCCCGGAGTGCAAAGCGTCGTTTTTTTTTAATTGTGCATTTCCTGAAAACTCCACTAACGGCATTACATTATTTAATTTGTTATACATATTTTTATTTATTGCTACCTAGCGGGTACCCACGACTACGTTTGTTGAAGTTTGGTTTCCTGTACAAATTTCCATCCCCCTTATCACCCCCTTAAAATATTATTTTAGGGATAAAAACTATTCATTGTTCTTTCCCGGAACAAGCAACTATCTTTTTAACACATTTCATCTAAATCAGTTCAGCGGTTTGAGTCTGAGAAGAGGTAACATACAAACAGAACACAATTTTGCATTTAAATTATAGTATAGTAGGTAGTGTAGATTATTATAAAAATCTGAATCCCAGAAGAACCTGTAATTTTTCCGTCGTAAAAAGTATCCTGTCTCAATTTAGATCATAAACTATGTGCATCAAATTTCATCCAAAACGGTCGGTAGTTATTACGTGATTAACAAACATAGAAACTCACAATAATACAAACTTTTATATATATAATATTTAAGTAGGAAGTAAGATAGTGTGGATAGATGATTTTAATTGCAATTTTAGAATTCTTACTGACTTGGCAAATTTGGAATAACTATAGAACTAAAACTGCTAGTAGGTAGTCGTACTTGCACTGTTACCTATTATATAGCTCGTTACCTATTATAGGTATATTATTTAAAACTTGCATTCCTTCTGGTATAGGTTCTATACAATTAATACAAGTTTTTATTTTGATAGCAATACTGCTTATTTTGGACTGACCGAAATCTGCAAGCCCAAACCAGGAGAAACTGTCGTAGTATCTGGGGCAGCCGGAGCCGTGGGTTCACACGTTGGACAGATTGCAAAAATACTAGGTGGGTCATGTTGTGAACATATTCTAATTTTGTAAGTGTACCTAATAACTTATTAAGTTAGTCTTTAAAAAATATCCTAAATTACCATTTAGTACACCTACTTGTTTACGGAACGTTAGGCTCCGAGAGAAGCAGCCTGTAGGTAGACTAAATTAATATTTTTATAGTGGTTTGTAAGAGACGTTTTCTGAGAATGCCATTTTTATAAGCATCTTAATGTTATAGTTAAATAGGTAAGTATGTAATATGACCTGAAGCAGTAACTTGACTGATACTAATTTTCATGAAATACGGGCTTTTAACAATTGGAAATTGGTAGACCATAAGTTAATATACATAAAATTTACGCTTTATATTTAAAATAAATAAATTACGATATTTCTATGGAGGTAATTTTCATAGCACATAACGCCCGTAATAATTATATTGTATATTTCAGGTTGTCGCACGATTGGTTTTGCCGGTACAGACGAAAAATGCAACTGGATAGTAAATGAACTCGGTTTTGACGCCGCCGGAAATTACAGAACATCGAATATAGAGGAATACCTAAAAAAGAATGCTCCTAATGGAGTAGATTGTTATTTCGACAATGTCGGTGGCGAAATCAGCAGCAAAATCATGTCTAAAATGAACGGTTATGGACGAGTGGCTGTCTGCGGTGCGATATCTAGTTACAATGAAACAGAACCAGAGAAGAGAAAAGGTACCATTCTTTAACAATATTTTAAAATTGACGAAACAAACAACCTACAGAAAAAACAATTAAATATTATATTTGCTAGTGGTTTACTTATTTCAGTTGTATAATATGTATATGCATTACTGATAACTGTCTTACCTGTTTATTACAGCTACCGTAGTGCAGCCATATATAGTTGGAAAGCAGTTAAAAGTTGAAGGATTTCAGGTAAATAGATTTGCCGATCGTACGCTGGAAGGAATACTACAAAATTTGCAATGGGTAAAAAATGGAGAATTGAAATACAAAGAACATATTTATGATGGATTTGAGAGTGCTGTTGATGCTTTTATAGGATTATTTAAAGGAGCAAATATTGGAAAATCTCTAGTTAAGGTGTAAAATCCTCTTGTATATACAATATATTACATTTACATTATTACATAAATATTATGCTACTTATTACACTAATTAAACATTTTAATCATCTGTGCCTTTTCCTTTTAGGTTTAATTTCACAAACACTCTTACTTTGTGAGTATTTGTAGATAAATAGATCCTCATAAACTAAATTTTTAGCTTTAGGACTCAAAAACTTCGAAATTTCGTCATACAGATATACTTTATATGACTCTTCACTTGCAGGAGTTTGCGTAGACACAGAGGTACGCTTATGTGGTGCTACACAATTCTTTAGTTCCATAATTCGAGTGGAGTTTTGTTCAATTTTTTTTAACAAAACATTTTGCATTTTATTCATTCTCGATTCTAAATACGATATAGTATAATCTTGAGAACTCAAATTGTTACCTTTTGAAATAGAAGTATCAACATTTTCTGTATCTTTTGTCTTTAAGATATTGCCTTTGCTCCCAACTTTGTCTGAGTCATTTGGCTTTTCCAAACACGATTCCACCATATCTCGAAGCTTTTTATTAAATATTCTTTTCTTTTCAATGGCAGCAAGACGCTCTGGGGACACTTTATTTTTCAAAGTGGATAATTTCGAAACTGAATCACAGGCTTTTTCATTTGATTCTCTTGTATTACTGTTTTGTTCATTTGGTAAAAGCGACGTCTTTGACTTGGTAGCTGATTCTACTTCTAGTATTTCTATTTTTGGAGGATCTTTGATAACAATATCATTTTTCTCCAAAACTTCTGAATTTTCTAGTCCACAATTATTTGTTTTTCGTTGAGTAGTCATTGGTTCTGTTACTTGACTAAATATAGGTATATTTTTAGAATCATTTGTTCTTTGCGATGTTTGAGATTTATCAAATGACTGATCTTTCAATCGGTTTGGTACTGGCAAAATCAAAGATGGTAAAACTGGCTCCAATTTTCCTATAAATGGTAATGGTTCTAATATCGTCTTTTCAGAGATAATTTTCACTTTCACATCTTTTTGTACTTTATTACCATCATTATTTGGTGGTATTGAATTTTGTGGCTGATTATAAAGTGAGATATTAGCAGAAGGTAGCATTTGAAGATTATTACTGAAAAAAACTTGACTAAATGAATTATTATTTATGATTTGGCCATGATTCAGGTTATCTATAATTACTGGCGGTTGCTGATTTAGTTGTTCAATGTTTTCATAAGATATAGGTATAGCCACTCCCATTGGTAAATTCGAAATATTAGTAATATTATGATTTGTATTGTTATCAAATATTATATTAGGCTCTTGATTAGAAAACATATTTTTCGGAACAATGTCTTCATTAACTTTTGTAATTTGATCATTTTGTTTAAGGTGATATTTGGCATATTTTATAGAGGGACTAATTGGTTTCTTAACAATAGCAATCTTCTTTTTAAATTTTATGTTTTCTTTAGCCTTGGGATGTTCAAAAGGTATAATTAGTCTATCTTCTTTTTCTTTTTTAACTTTAGTATCATCTATCAATAGACTGTTTATTCCCTCAGATACCAATGGTGGATCAACATTGGCCAAAAAGTCTATGTACTTTAAAGAAGAATTTGCTTTCTTATCAATATATGTTATTTCTTGTTCAATATCATTCAGTACTGAATTAGCTTTTTCCAAAGCTTCTTCATCCACCATTACTTCCTTTGTGGAATCACAATAAGGACCATCTTCAGTTGGGACTGCATCAAATGTCAACTTCTCTTTCTGTAAGTAATCAAAATTAATTTAATATTATTTCATCAAAAATGTGGATGGTTTAGTTATGTTAAAAGGGAATTCTTGAATAAAAAAAAAGGTAAATTTTAAAAATCAAAAAACCCAAAAAATTCAATATGGGCAAAATTAGGCGCCATATTGTGACGAAGTAAAAAAAATAAGTTGACAAAATATGTCGAGTGGGGATCACTGTCTAGATAATCAAAAATCATATTTAGGTTCCTAACACCATTTTTCATTTTATATGATTGTTTAGGATCTACAACACTTTAAAGTTGTATATTAACCACTTCCGCTTTTAATTTCAATCTTACGTTTGTATGGATTTTTGTTACTCTTTCACCTAAAAAATACTGAATGGATTTTAATGAAACTTAACAGTAATATAGCTCATATATGATAATTATATATATATAATAATTTATGTAGTTATTAAGTGAATTGGCCAATATATAGCAATAAATGTCACATAAGACGGAAAAAATGTCCCATCTGCGAGCCTTTTTGGCCTGCACTGCAAAAACAATAAAAGTTACATGAATGTAATGTAGAGTGAAAATGTATCTCTTAAATAGTTCTGAAAAAAGTCCGTGACACCATATATCTATTTTTAATGTGTAAGTCATTACCACTAAAATAGTGAATCAAAACTAAAATATTATTTGATATCTATTTCCAAAATGCACATTTTGTATTAACAAATCATTTTTTATTAAAAACAAACACTTTAATCGCTTTTGATATTTAAAGACGATAAACTTTGCTTTTTACACTATGTCATTTCGACAAATATTTAAAAAGTTACAACGATGACAAAGTGATAGCGCGGTGTACTATGTAAAAGAAAAAAAAATGGGGTATTCGCAGTATCTGATCCTATACGAAGTACTAATATTAAAACTGTGATACAGTTCCTTCTTATTAAATGATGTAAAATATATTATCATAATAGGTATTTATGATTATTGAATTTTAATGAAAAACTCAGAATTTTACTGTTTTTCATTTTTTTAACGATATTACTTAATGTTACAAAAAAGGTTTACTTAATATAATGACAAATAATCCATTTTTCGCTAGTAAGTACATAGTTATTGGAATCCCTGTATTTATTAATCAGCTCGCGATAATATTGGTTTTGTAATAATTCTGCAAAATTCAAAGTAAATAATGTAGATTTTTATAGGTAAATCACCCCTTTCATCACCCTACGCCTATTATTATTGCGATGTTGTAGCTAAGAACCAAGTTCCCATCTACTTCTATATGGGAATTCATTAAATTCGATTTAGCTATTAGGGCACGGAAGCGCAACAAACAAACTCACTTTCGCATCTATAATATTATATTATACTTACTAGTGATCCACTCGGGCATTGTGCGGGCGAAATTTATTTATCGGGATAAAATATAGCCTATGTCACTCGGACAAAATGTATTTAAATAAAGAAAAATGTTATAATAAATAATGTAGCTACCTTATTACCTTATTACCCACTGTTGAAAAATATTATGTATTCTTGAATATCTAATGGGTCCCGACTGTTAAAGTAGCTTTGTTCCTTATTAACAGCATTATAGACTACTGGACTTGTTTTTTTCTTTTCAGTTTTTATTTGAAGAATAATTAAGCAGTCGGGTTTTTTGATTTTTAAAATTTACCTTTTTTATTTCACACTTTTTAGTTAGTATTTTAAGACGGTATATACCGTAGTCTTGTTACTTCAGTAAGGGAATTAATATCGCGGGAATTATTAAATACCTTGCGTCGGTCTAAAAGATTGATTTATTAAGACATATAAAGACTTTACCAGCGGGGTCAAGGCTACAGATGGGCCTCAATTTTCGCAAAAATGTGTGAAGTTAAATCAAGTTGTTACATAAATATCTCTAATGTATATAAATTTTATAGTAAACTAGCACTTACTCAAAAAGTCATCTTTTGTTTATGTTTTTTTTAATAGTTTAGCAGTAAATATTAAATTCATTTACTTTTATTCGACGACTATTTAAAATTGGCAGTGGCTGCATTGTCATGTCAACGCCGGACGTCTAAAATTGTGATATACACAAATTCAGTGTCAGTCCCTAGTCTCATAATTTGATATACCTACATAATTCACAGAAACCCAATATGTAGATGCCAGAAGTTAACTTCAAATGTTTTTAATCACCCTATATACAATACCAATCAATGATGTTTATGTCGCAGGTTGAAGAAAGAAGTAATTCCCATCTGTTGTTTTGGACAATGGTGGCAACTGCCTTAGATCACTAAATTAAATAATTATGCAATCACCAAAGCAAAGTTTATAATATTTGATTAAACTAAAGGCGCATAATAAAATTTTCATAACGTTAGGTAGAGCACCATAGCAATCTCATTTATTATCAATTTATAGTTCTCTTTGTAGTTTTCTTTTAAAGCGTTCACATTTAACAGGCCAAAGACTTTGTGTTCGACCCTTTTCTATTGGTAGTGTAAAGCTCGAATGAAGAGTACTCCCAGTAATGCAGTCATGGCAATAATTTTCCAATTTTTTTTTGTTATAAAAATACCGAATAGTGTATCACTGTTAAGCACAAATGCTAAGTAACTTTTACAAATATAATCAAATTAACCTATTACTTACTTTATTTTTAAATCCTTTTCATCAATTAAATACTTATCTTATCCTAACTATCTATACTAATATTATAAAGAGGCAAGATTTGTATGTTTGTAACAAATAATCTGTCAAACTACTGAACCAGTTTCAAATATTAAGTCATCATAAGGTAGCTACATTATTTATTATAACATTTTTCTTTATTTAAATACATTTTGTCCGAGTGACATAGGCTATATTTTATCCCGATAAATAAATTTCGCCCGTACAATGCCCGAGTGGATCACTAGTAAGTATAATATAATATTATAGATGCGAAAGTGAGTTTGTTTGTTGCGCTTCCGTGCCCTAATAGCTAAATCGAATTTAATGAATTCCCATATAGAAGTAGATGGGAACTTGGTTCTTAGCTACAACATCGCAATAATAATAGGCGTAGGGTGATGAAAGGGGTGATTTACCTATAAAAATCTACATTATTTACTTTGAATTTTGCAGAATTATTACAAAACCAATATTATCGCGAGCTGATTAATAAATACAGGGATTCCAATAACTATGTACTTACTAGCGAAAAATGGATTATTTGTCATTATATTAAGTAAACCTTTTTTGTAACATTAAGTAATATCGTTAAAAAAATGAAAAACAGTAAAATTCTGAGTTTTTCATTAAAATTCAATAATCATAAATACCTATTATGATAATATATTTTACATCATTTAATAAGAAGGAACTGTATCACAGTTTTAATATTAGTACTTCGTATAGGATCAGATACTGCGAATACCCCATTTTTTTTTCTTTTACATAGTACACCGCGCTATCACTTTGTCATCGTTGTAACTTTTTAAATATTTGTCGAAATGACATAGGTAGTGTAAAAAGCAAAGTTTATCGTCTTTAAATATCAAAAGCGATTAAAGTGTTTGTTTTGATAAAAAATGATTTGTTAATACAAAATGTGCATTTTGGAAATAGATATCAATAATATTTTAGTTTTGATTCACTATTTTAGTGGTAATGACTTACACATTAAAAATAGATATATGGTGTCACGGACTTTTTTCAGAACTATTTAAGAGATACATTTTCACTCTACATTACATTCATGTAACTTTTATTGATTTTTGCAGTGCAGGCCAAAAAGGCTCGCAGATGGGACAATTTTTCCGTCTTATGTGTCATTTATTGCTATATATTGGCCAATTCACTTAATAACTACATAAATTATTATATATATATAATTATCATATATGAGTGAACGAGTGCGGTTTACGAGCCGGCCTCAAGATGAACATAACAAAAACAAAGTGTATGGTGATCTCTAGAAACACCCATCTCGAGCCGCACATAGCAGTATCAGGCCAGACTATCGAAAGAGTGCACAAATACAAATACTTAGCCGCCTGGCTCACTGAAAGCTGGGACAGCGAACTAGAGATCAAAACTAGAATTGAAATAGCTAGGAATGCCTTCAAGAACATGAGTAAGGTCCTATGTAACCGAAACCTAAAGATCGCTTTGCGCACTCGGCTTCTGCTCTGCTATGTCTGGCCCATTCTTCTATACGGATGCGAGTCTTGGACAATAAAAGAAGATCTCAGGAAACGTATTGAAGCTTTTGAGATGTGGTCCTACCGACGTATGTTAGCAATAAGCTGGACTCAGCGGGTTACCAATGAGGAGGTTCTACGGCGAGCTCACCGAAAACGCGAACTTTTGCAAACCATCAAAAAGAGAAAAGTTGCATACCTAGGGCATGTGCTAAGGCACGAACGTTACGAACTGCTGCAACTCATAATGATGGGAAAAGTCGCAGGAAAAAGAAAAGTGGGCCGTAGGAAGAAGTCCTGGCTACTTAACATCAGGGAATGGACCGGGATCGCGAGTGCGGCTGAACTGTTCCACCTCGCGAGAGATAAGAAGAAATTTTCCGAGCTGATGGCCAACCTTCACTAGTTGGAGAGGCACCCGAAGAAGAAGAAGATTACTGTTAAGTTTCATTAAAATCCATTCAGTATTTTTTAGGTGAAAGAGTAACAAAAATCCATACAAACGTAAGATTGAAATTAAAAGCGGAAGTGGTTAATATACAACTTTAAAGTGTTGTAGATCCTAAACAATCATATAAAATGAAAAATGGTGTTAGGAACCTAAATATGATTTTTGATTATCTAGACAGTGATACCCCACTCGACATATTTTGTCAACTTATTTTTTTTACTTCGTCACAATATGGCGCCTAATTTTGCCCATATTGAATTTTGATTACTATCATATCTTTAGTAGCAATCGATTGATGTATGAATCATCAAAATCGGTCCAGGCGTTTGGTCTCTAGTGTGCCACAAAGGAACAAACATACATATATAGACTGTTAAACACATAACCCTGTCTGCGCATCGCGCTTCGCGCTCTTACATTGCGCAGCCGGGTAAAAAAGGCAGTTACTTTTTGTTTCAGTTATTTGAAAACAGTTCGAGTTTAAAGCATAACATTATTGTGGCTGTACAGATATAATATTTACATCCACAAAAATATTGTTTACAACATAACTGTTAACAATACATTACAAATTTTAATGTATACTGTTAATCCAGTTCTAAACCCTCTCTACACTCTTCGTGGCTGACTTATTATATATAATAAAAGGTATGTTGTTATTTCAAGAAACCCATTTGCAATGTTGAGGCAATAATTATAAAATTTTCTTTTCAACATCAGTATGGAAAAATATTTATTATTAACTTAAAAATCAACTCTGATCATAAACCCCCTTATTTCAAAATGCGGACTAAAATTAGTCTTGGTTTAAACCTAATAATGTCTGTCTTAATAGTGATAGCATCAATTTAAGTCTACATTTAACTTTAGTCTACATTTTGTAATAAGGTGGAAGAGGTTTTGTTTTTAGTAAGTATTTTAGCACTCAGGCTGATTAGCTTGCAAGATTTTAGCTTGGGACATGTTCTTAGAATACTAATTGATATTACTTTAATCCCTTTTTGGGTTACATGGTACAAATACTGAAATATTGATTGTTCAAAAATGAGCTTTGGAGTATTTCGTTTATTATATGTACTTACCTTATAATTCATAAAACATTCTTCTTTAAAATGATGTTGGCAAACTACTCTATTTCGAAGTTGTGAAACTTTTAGGTCCAGGAATTCATATCTTTGAGCATTGATAATCCATTGGTGACAGCGTAATCTTTCATATGCAGGATAGTGAAACAAATGTATCTTTGTATCTGTTGTATTCTTATCTGACCTCACAGTGCAGTTACGATAAGTGCAACGACAACCTCCCATGATTATTAACCTGAAAAAAATCATTATATAAACATAATAGGTTCTGATAGCATTTATCCTGTATGTAAACAACCACAATGTTTACTATACCATTGGATTGACTAAGTGATTTAATTGCATTCGATTGTTCTAATCCAAAGTGAATCTGTGATTGCCAACATGTACCTCAGACTCATTAATTATAAATATATTGTAGCAATCTCACTATTCACATAAATGACTATTATTTGATTTGTGTACTCAAGATAGTAGGTGTAATAATTAAAATCATACCCGATTTATTAAAGTGAATGATATAGAAAAGTAATGTAATATGAATCTATTAATCTACAATTTGCCAAAATGACAATGATGTTCCTTGCAACGCACAAGCGTTCATTAATAAAGGGGTTTCTTTTTAAATTACTATTAACCATTGATGATATTATTTATTAAAAACTAAATTTTATAAGCTTAATAAAATAAACCCTAGTATGTGCCAAAAGCATATTTCTTGCAAAAGCTGGCTAACGATAACAAGATAGTGTCTTTTTAACAATGATTTAGATGTTGTATACCCATGGGATCCTACCAAAACAAAGAAATGAAAGACGTACCAGCCCTGCTGCTTCCTCGACTGCTTAAGTATTACTTTTATTCAAAAAGAAAACCAGCTCAAAACATTCAAAATCTTTTAGATCTTCCTTTCCAATCTCACGACAAAAAAAACATATATGCTTAAATAAAAAGTAAGTAAGATTTCGAACTTCGACAAAAAAGGAATTAAATATCATCTAATTTTTAATTTAGCTTTAGTTTTTTTTTTTGTTGAAGTTCTCCCGTTTCACGGAAGGCAAAGGGAACAATGCCCATACAGCCTAATCTTTAATTAAATTAATATTCTTTTTGTTTTTACATTAGAATGTCGGTGTGACGCATTCTAATGTTTCTTGGAGTGTTTGGCACGAAATGTATCGAGTTGGCTTTTTCGATAAGCTTCTATGAGGTAGTCAACACTACAATAAAATTTTCACGTCCACTTGACCGGAATAGCGTATATTTTAACGATTCCACTAATTCTTCAGTTACGCAGACGGTTGTTACACAAAACCACACCAATTTTATTTCACAATATCCACTATGAACGAATTTAAGAATAGTTAAAATAAGACGCCACACGCCAACCGCACTCGATGAAAATTGAAATCCCACCAAAACTACCCTTTAGTTTTTTTTTGGTTTTTTTCTTTTCCCATTCTGGGAAGGCAAAGGATACTGTGCCTATACAGTTAATTCTTAAGTTTATTATTACAGAATAAAACGACAAGTACCTATTTTTTTTATATGGCGGCACTTCACTTACTTGGCGATTCGGTGTTTGCGTTTTAATGTCAACGATATTAAATACCCTAGATACAGCACGAGCGCTCAAAATGTGTCCCAATCACAGTTCATAGTCACGCGCGGATCGTTACAAAGATGCCGCAGAGCTCCGCGAAAAAATGCGAAAATAATAGTTAGAGTAAGAAAAGTGTCGTTTTTTCGACAGGTATCTAGTTAATGTTTGTTAATTTAACGCATTTGAAGCAAATTTTGATCTAATACTTACTATAAACTGATTTAATATAAAATATTTGTGATATTCAAATGCATGGTCGGTTAAACGTCGCCATATAGCCGTCTCTTTTCCTCGCGGTCCGTGCCTGCTATATTGCTAACAGCGCATTCAGAATTGCGCGTAGTCAAAGAACTAAGGTCTAAATTCTTCCGCATATAGCAATAAGTCGTAAAATTGTACGACCTTGCATTTCGAACTGTCAGAGGTCCTTGACGCATGGGTTTTATTTAAGACCTTATGCAGTATGGATTAAAGGTTACTTTCAATATTTAAATAATGCCTTATATTGATTTTGACTACGCGATCATCTTACGGAGCTCAGTGGATCGTTCAATGTACCTTTTGGACAGGTTTCGGGCACGATTTTGTTCGTGTTGGTGTATCTAGGGTATTTAATATCGTTGTTTAATGTACAAAAATGATGAAAACAGCAATACAAATGCACGACAATAAGACCATCCACACATGGCGTCTAAGATACTAATAACCACAGAGTAACGTAGATAAACACAAATATTACGAACATTTTTTGATTCGAGCACTTAGATAGATAGATTAGATTGTAAGTCTGTGGATTCGAGATGACAAAACTACAAAAGTTTTACAAAATGACGGAGGATTATGCACTTGAAGTGAGTTATTTTTTTTAATTTATTCATGACCTGGATACAGAGTCCTTCAGTCGAATACATTGTGGGTTACAAAATATTTTTAAATTAAAACTTAAGTAGATAAGTGTCCTTCAAAGGAGAGCAAGAATTGCAATACTTAAAATTACAAAAAATAACATTAGTTTTTTAAATTTTCAAATTTTGGTGTAAATGCTAATAATAATAAAGTTATATTTAAATGTAATTACAATCTAAGCAGTACAAATCAATTAAAACAGATATATTTACACTAGCAAAAATAGTTACAAATGTATTCCTTAAACTAAATATTCTGTACAGTATTTCCTATTAATTTAAACAGTGGTTTATAAAAGTCTGAATTGTTTAGTAATTCCTGAACGTGGCGGGGGAAACTGTTTTGACTTTGCTCACAGATGTCACTGATGTCATTGATGAAGATGAGCCGTTGCATGTGGAAACTGGGACAGTTGAATATAATGTGCTGAAGATCTGCATTTTCTTGATTACAGTGGAGACATCTTGAGTGGTTATAAATATTTATTCTGTGCAGATGTGCTGGCATGAGGCAGTGTCCAAAGCGCATACGTGTAATAGTGGTAATGAATTTTCTGTTAGAGTACTTTACTCTGGAATACCATGGCATTGTAGGTAGGTGTTTTTGAATGTTTGCATACCATTTGCCTTTCGTCTGTAATGTATTTTGCCAGTAGGATTGCCAAAGCTGTCTTGAAATTTCTTTAAAGTGTCTGTAGAAGTCTGTCAATGGAATGTTCAGTATGTGGGTATGATCTTCATCCTGCTCTATATGTGTGAGGCTATCTGCTATTTCATTACCTTCTATGCCACTGTGGGAGGGAACCCAAAGAAATTGTACTTCTATTCCTTTCCTATTTAGTTGTTCTATTAATTGAACTACATTACACAGTATATGACTTGTTTTAAAAGATGAAATTCCATTAACTAAGGCAAATAATACACTTTTTGAATCGGTTACTACTACAATATTTACAAGATTATTTACATAAGTTAGAGCTTGCTGTATAGCATAGCTTTCTGCTGTAAATATACTACAGTGTTCATTAATTTTGATACATTTAGAGTAACCAGCCTGGGGATCATAATAGGCTGATTTGACATTATTATTGTCTTTAGAACCATCAGTATAAATAAAGTAATAATTCATATAGCTGTGCTTAAATTCTAAAAAGTCATTGTTATTAAATCCTGCAGAGAAGAGGAAAAGGAAGTATAATAATATATCTAATAATTCGAGAAAGAAAGAAAATGAAAAGTACAATGTTTTTATCAAACCCAATTATAAACGTCTTTTCTTAGATAACAGCACAAATGAGTTTGTCGTTTATGTGGTATCCACTGAGCAAGACAAAATAGGAAATCGAAACCCTATTTTCCTTACTAAACTTTTCACCGAACATGTTACAGATATAGTAGGGGTTCATTGTGTGAACGCTCATAAAATTGGGGTGACTTTTAAAAAAGCGTCCTCCGCTAACTATTTTTTTAAACAGGACGACTTTTTATCTATTAATAAAATGAAGGCCTTCATCCCTTCTCATCTAACGGAAAAAATTGGTGTACTCAAGTTTGTTCCTACAGACATGACAAATGAAGATATATACAAAAACTTAGTTTGGGATGCAGAAGTAATATCCATTAAGCGCTTCATGAAAAAATTGGACATCACACTCACACCTTTAACCACGGTTGCAGTAACTTTTGCAACAACCTGCCTGCCTAAATATGCCTATATACAACTTTTTAGATATAAAGTACACCAGTATATACCCCCCCTACTACAATGTTTCAAATGTCTAAAATTCAATCACTCGGCTAAAGTTTGCAGAAGTACCCAAATGTGTTCATCTTGCGCTGGTCAACATTCCTACAAAGAATGTGATGTGGAAGAAATTGTCTGCATAAATTGTAGTGGCAATCACTTGGCCATTTCAAGGGACTGTCCATTAAAGAAGCAGAAGATAGAAGAGAAACGTATTAAACATACTCAGCAAAACTATGCCGCTGTGGTGAGTTCTCCCCCAGCTATAAATGATATGAAATCTTACCCACCAATTTATAAGAGAAATAATGACCACTTTGATGTCAACCTAATTGCTAATAATGAAATAATACTTAATGCCATAGTAAAATCTCTTGTAGCTCTAGGCAACAACAATGGTAAAGCCCCCTTAACATCTAAGAAAATAAAAGATATATTTTTGTCAAATTTAATGTAATGGATAATTATTTGCATATAATTCAGTACAATATACAAAGTTTACAGAGCAAAAAAACCTTACTTCAAAAGCTCATTTTGGAAAAAAATATTGACATTTGTTTACTTAATGAAACCTGGCTAACAGAAAATAGACATCCTCCAAGATTTCCTAACTATAATTTTATATTTAAGAATTCTAAAAATAAATGTAATGGTGTCGGAATTTTAATTAAACATAGTTTAAAATACAGTATTTTAAACACAACTTTTTACGAGTCTATTCAGAACATAGCCATAACTTTAAAAACGCAATCTAGTGATATATCTATTTTATGTGTTTATTGTCCACCCAACAATGGTAGATTCAATAGCAGCAAATTAAAAAACATTATACAGAATTTACCCAAACCATTTATAATCATGGGTGACTTTAATGCTCATCATGTAGCTTTTGGGTGTCAGAGTAGTAATAGCAGAGGTAACAGCTTATATGATATAATAGATGAGTTTGATTTATGCATCTTGAACAATGGCACTCCAACTACTTTTCCACATCCCAATAGACAGCCCTCTGCAATAGATATAACACTTGTGAGCCCCTCCATTGCTCATTTATGTGATTGGTGTGTACAAGACGATCCCATGGGCAGTTATCACTTCCCAATTTCTCTTTATTTGAATATCCAGCCATCACAGTTTGAAATTGGTCCTGTTGAAGAAAAATATATTTATAGCAAAGCAAATTGGGATGAATATTATACACTTTCAGAAATAGCTTTTTCCGAACTAAATATTGAAAATGATCAGCCATTACAGTTGTATATCAAATTTGTAAATATATTAAATAATATAAGGGACCAAACAATACCGAAACGAAAGGGAACACCTAATGAAAAAATGTTAAGGAAACCAGCTCCTTGGTGGAACAAAAATTGTGAGGATGCTATTAAAAAATCTAAAGAAGCTTTGTGGATGTATAAATTAAATCCATCTATTTCTAACTTTATAGAGTATAAGAGAATGGATGCCCATAAAAAACTAATTATTAAACAGGAAAAAAAAGAGTCTTGGAAAGTGCTATGCAGTAGTTTTAATAGATTAACACCTGTCTCCAGAATATGGAATTATATAAAAAAGTTTAAAAGGGTAGATAACTCTAACAAGCATTTCGATGATCAATGGGTTCCAGAATTTATAAATAACTTATCTGACTCAACTGAAACCAACGAGGAAAGACTTTTAAACTTGCTTCACTCTGAGGAAAACACTGTACATACATTTCTTAATGAACCATATACTATTTTTGAACTTATCAAATCATTAAAAAGTAGGAAAGA